TAGTAAGTCGTTGGCGGCTTGATTAGACAATTTCCCGCGTAACGTTCGACGGGTAGTAGCGGCGTCTGGGCGACGGTAGGGCCCCTGTTCATTTCGCGAACTCGCCGTCGCAGCACATGTGTGTGCGCGTACACTACTGTTGCGCCCACGACAACACTTGTCACTACGATATTTACTCGATAACGATACGACGACCACCACAAAACTAAACAACACCGCGGCAACCGTCCGTCGCGCGTATCAAAACACGGACTGACAACAGTAGTGAGTAGTAACTAGTAAACAGCGCGGTATGGCCAGACGAGAAACACCTGTTCGCCCCACCGTTGCGCGAGACAGAAAAGACCGGCAGCGGCGTAAATCGAGAAAACATTACTTGTTGTGTTTTTTATTCGCTTCAATCATATTTGAGAAAGTTTACGATACACGATATAACTACTATAATTATGACGGTTCGTACAAGCGCGTGTCACACTGCAAACGTATTATTATGGTAAAGCAGTGCTAATACTATACTTACATTAAACTCGTAAAAACAAAAACGTACTAAGAAAACGCAAACATTACCATTAACATTTTGGTAAAAATCGAGATTAAAATACGGAAAAACACTAATTAGTCGATAATTACACGTCTATCTAAGGAGTCAATAATCAATTCCTGTAATATTTTGTTCTAAATTGTTTTTGTGCACATCATCTTTTATATTTTATTATCAATGGACCCAATTTGAAACCATGGTCGGCAGAAAACTGGTAGTAAATCAATTAACAATAATAGTGGTAGATAATAATTGTATTACCGACGTTACTACTATATGGTAAATGAACACTCATATACTATAGTAAATATTGGATTATTAGTGTTTTTTGTCCTTGTGTTAAATGTGAAATATTGTAAGTTGTCAAAGAAAAAAGGCGTATTATCAAAATATTATAACTTATAAAAAACCACTTAAGCCACGAAGGATGTTGATAGTCAAACTTCAGAACAGCACAAACACCATAACACCAGATTAAGTATTTGTAGCATACCCGGTCCAATAATAGTATAGTTAAAAACAAATTAGAGCAACTAAACAACGTCACTACAACGATACATAATATACAAACTGGAAGTCACAGCTTATATCACATAAATAAAGGTATTACTAAAACGCGTGTTTAATTGATTTTAACAGAACTTTAATTCGTATATGTATATGGATGTCAGCGTAGGGATGCCAATTGACATCTGTTTGCATAGAAATATTTTATACTTCTCATACTAAAATCCTAAAACCTGTGATTTCGTCTCGAATAACCGATGTCGTCTAGACGAATTAATAAGTATAAACTTTCGGAAGTCGAATCATTTCGGTAGTTAACGATTTGCTGTACAAACACTTAGGATGCAACACATTAGCTATTAACCAATTGCGGTGTCAACATTTTGCGGCCATACACTAAACGGATTTAAATTTAAACGATATCCGAGAAGAATTTATTTATACTTAAGTACAAGACAGACACGACAATAACTCCATTTTTCAGACCGTTCTCCTATTATTATATTCCTGTACAAACCGCCCATTTCGTCGGATAAGTCACGGATTGACCCGACGTTGGTGTATCGGCTCATTAACCGCACACACACACCCAACGCGCTAACAGGTAAGTAGGTCCTCTAGTAGTGTAAGTAAGACGCATGAAAATACCTAATATGAAGCAATTGAACGCAACAGCACTATAATATCAAATAATATAATAATATATATATATCAAAGGTTGCCGACACGGGAAATCTACTTCTCGACAGACCGTTTCTTTAAAAAAATATTTTACCTTTTTAGAGCACGAGGGCGGATAATACACGTATACCGAGGACATAATATAATTATTTTATTATATTCCCCGGTAACGGGTAATAGAAATTCATTACCTACAACTAGTTCGGATATAAAACATTTTTTAGTAATACACAGTATATATGAGTTGGAAAAATCAGACTAGACTAGTAGAATTTGCGTGTGAACTGTTGTTTAAAATACATCTGATGCAAGTATACGTTTATAATTATAATTATAACTATAATTTAAACGTTAAAGAAAATAAAAATAAGAATACGATAACACGGAAATATTATCAAAACGTCAAGAAAAAAAGCAAAAAAATTATATGGCAGCGGTGGGATTCGAACCCACGCCCTTTCGGACTGGTGCCTAAAACCAGCGCCTTAGACCACTCGGCCACGCTACCTTCATGACTGCCGGCATCGAAATGCCGTTATTTAAGAACAACGTTCTGCAAAGCCTTTACTTTTTAATACAAATTATTAAATCCTATAATATAATATTATTATATTTTAACTAAATAACTTAAACACACGTTATATACTTATAACACTTTGAATCTTTTCCATACATTTATAAAATATATGTTTATATATTATGTACCTGGACCTACAAAATTTGTACAAATACAGAATGAATAATTTAACATAAGATACTCTTTGAAAATAATTGTAATGTGTTAGTTTCTAGTTTCTAGTTTCTACTCAACATTTTATCTTTTTTTGGTAAATTTCAAAGCTTTATTAAATTAAATACTTAGTACTTAACACGTCACTGCAGATGACTCCAATTTACTTTGGAAATTGGCGTATTATGCGGTGAACGTATACTTGTGCTAATAAGTACTTAGTAACTTTCAAACTATATTTACTTTTTAAATTGATAATAATTTACGTCCTACATTTTAAACATTGAGAACTTTTAAAGTTAATTAAATAAATATTTAACCGTTAAAGTTTCAATAGTTGATAGCACACTAACAGTTACCTTATTTGGAAATTACTAATACTTATTTTTTTTTAAACTTATTGACATTAACAATGCCAATAACTTCATCAAATACTAAAAGAAAATTGTTAAACAATTATTAAAAAAAAATTAAAGGCCAACAGTAACCTGAGGTTATAAATCAGACCTTGAAATAATATATTAACCTCGTTGGGCCAAAAAAAACCTATGGGCTAAGTTACAATTTTGAGGTTGACAATATCACACTAGATTGACAAAATCTATGTACGATCACTTTAGAATAAATGAAAAATAAAACCTATAATGTGTTACCTACTATAAAAATATAGTTAGGGTTTCATGTCTACTAAGAAATCAGGGTTTAGCATATAAGAGAACTTTTCGGCCCAACAATGATGTGAAATTGAAAATAATATAGTAATTTGTAACAATATTAAACGATTAAATATTTTAATTTAAATATGACATTTTTAAATTAAGGAAAAAATAAATAATCCCACATAAAGTCATAAAAAAATTAATTTTTTCTTAAAAAGTACTTTTATTTTAAAAATTAGGATATTGTTATCTATTATTAATTATACAATAAATTAATAATACAACTAAATGAATAGGTATCAAACATTTTTATCCCTAAAATTTCATACTTCATTTAATAAGTTTTAATTACTTCTTACTTTAGGTCTTTGTTTGTTGATTAAGAAATAAAATAATTTGCTTATTTTAGTTTTTTAATTTTCTTTTTAGTAGACCTAGCAAATATTATATTCTGGTCACCTCCAACATTACTGAAGTCTGGTTTTAGATTTTAAAATTAAATATAACCTAAACAATGTTTTACTGGTTATCTTTAATTATTATGCACATTTTGTTTAACTATTAGCTAAATGTGATCATATACAAAACTTTTTTCATCAATTAAAAAAAGGTTATTTATATATATATATATATATATTCTCTCTCTTATGTTTAACGTCCGTTATTTCCGCCAATCGGGGCTTAGACAGTTTAGATTTGGCATTTTTGGGCTTAGAGCTGACTGCCGACCTAATGCTACCAAACAAGTTGGCCCCAGAGAGAAGTGCAGGTGGCCGTTTTTTCCTCAAGACAGTTGCCCACCCGAAGGAACAAACCGCCAGTGGCTGAGATTCGAACCAGCGACCGTGCGTTGATACACTGCCGCCTTATCTTACTCTGCCATGCGCCTGCACTGTGGGCGCCTTTTATATATATACTAATAATATATATTATTATTACCTATTTTAAATTTTAAATACCATCACAATGTACGAGGTCAAATAGGAGTAATTTGTAGGAATTAGTTGAGCTTTTTTATATATAATCATTAAACTACTAGGAACATCTAATTTGTTTGTAGCAGTATGTTTTCTACATATTTTAATGAGTGATAAAATGACATCTTCTTTAATTATAATATGCCTCATTGATTTGTATTCAAATCATGTCATTGTTTCCAATAAATTTTGTAATGTAAGTAAGACGCATGGAAAAACCAAATATAAAGCAATTGAACGCAACAGCACAATAATATCAAATAATATATATATATCAAAGGTTTCCGAAACGGGAATTCTATTTCTCGACCAGCCGTTTTTTAAAAAAATATTTTACCTTTTTAGAGCGCGAGGGCAGATAAACACGAATACCGTGGACATAATATATTTATTTTATTATATTCCCCGGTAACAAGTAATAGAAATTCATTACCTACAACTAGTTCGGATATAAAACATTTTTTAGTAATACACAGTATATATGAGTTGGAAAAATCAGACTAGACTAGTAGAATTTGCGTGTGAACTGTTGTTTAAAATACATCTGATGCAAGTATACGTTTATAATTATAATTATAACTATAATTTAAACGTTAAAGAAAATAAAAATAGGAATACGATAACACGGAAATATTATCAAAATGTCAAGAAAAAAAGCAAAAATTATATGGCAGCGGTGGGATTCGAACCCACGCCCTTTCGGACTGGTGCCTAAAACCAGCGCCTTAGACCACTCGGCCACGCTACCGTCATGACTGCCGGCATTAAAATGCCGTTATTTAAGTCATTATTTTATGTCATTGTTCCCGATCAATTTTTTTAAAATTGTAAACTAAGCAATTTTGATGCAAATTCTTTACTGTATAGTATATACTATAATTTATATATTTTAAATGAAAACTTACCACGTAAAGAGTTTAACAAAAACATGAGTAATCTATGAGTGCCATTTGGTTCACTGTAAATTTTTGCTAGTTCTTGACATAGAGGATTACCAGCTAGGCCCAAAACTTGTAGTTGAAATAAACGCCCTACCTCATTAGGGAGTGATCTTAACATATTATAGCTCAAATGTAATTCTCTGAAAAAGTAATATTCGATTAATACATCTTTAAATTTTAAGTAGTTTATGTATTTACCTAAGACTTATTAGTTCACCAAGTTCAGCAGGTAAACTACGAAGTTTATTTCCAGATAAGTCAAGATATTGTAAATTTACTAGCATTGATACGTCAGGTGGTAGTCGTGTCAATTGATTATCGTTCAAATAAAGACCGGTCAAGGATGTTAAATGCCATAATGATGGACTAAGATTTTTAACACAACCTATAAGTTCAATAAAAATATTATTAAATAATCCAATAACTCAAATTCAGTAACTCACCAATAATTTCTAAACATTCCCAATGTGTTTCTTTTCCTTGTTTCACTTCTTCTGCAGTTAGCATATGATATTGCCGTAATGGCCTACCATTACTATTATACTGCTCAGTCTTTTCTCGAGCCAATCGCTTTTTATCATTAAGCGACATGTGTGTTCTAAATAATATACAGTTCTAGATAATATACACTGAGGCCAATATAATGTAATTAATTACTTTTTTTTCCGGTCCTTAAATGGAGAACATTCTTCTGTTGACTCGTTCATTTGATCAATTTCAAAAACCTGGAAACATCGCACGTAAGATTATAAATAAAATAATGACAGTAAAACATTTAATTATTCAATTTTTGTAATTCACAATACAAAAAACGTCAATATGGTAGAAATATTCTATACAAAGAAATGCATATTTACAACACTAAGTTATTGAATTAATCACTATCTAAACATTGGTTGTGAAACAACATCTTAATCGTGAAAATATAATGTGCAATAATATCATATAAAAGAATCGATATTAATTCTATTGTTTTGTAATCAAGTATTTTATAAAACAAATTTTAATATAAAATTGTAGTACAAAAAAATTTTAACTACCTATACTTGCACCGTCCCAACGACCAGATTTAGTAATCTTTTATCTTGATAATACGTCGATTTAAAAGACTGGACAATATTCACAAGATCAAGTTCAAAAAATGTACCTACATTTAAGCTGAATTTGACAGAACTCGGACAGCTAAATAAACGAAACGAAAAACAAAACATGATACAAGAATATTATCAGTGTGACCAGTAAAACTCTATACTTATGATATCAAAATTTCGTCGCTCATAAAAACGACCACGGAAACTTCAGTTTTGTACACAGACCCTTATCACTTGCTATCATCATTTAAACATATCATTAAAATATTTATTAAAAAGTTATTTTTATGCAATGCGGTATGCCCGTATTGGCTAAAAAAATTAAAAATTGCCATTTGATGTTGCTAATATTATTTGGCATATTGTATTTAACAAGCCCAAAAGTAAAGTGTGCTCTCTGTGACTCAATAGTTTAAACCGGTGCATTCAATTAAAATGGTGAGTGAATTTTATCATACAGATATTTACAATTCTTATATACTTTTTAAATAAATATTAAAACCACCGAATGCACATTTTTTAGACGACTGTTTATGCTCGAGCTTTTTCCACATCATCTATCAGTAATCACATTATGAAATTGACACGGTTACGTGTAGTTGATAATAGTACAATCGGTAAGCAAGCAATGGCTGAAGGTAAACCTCCCCGGTGTATTCATGTTTATAATAAAAAAGGGATTGGCACAATTGGAGATAAAGTATTAGTGGCAATCAAAGGTGAAAAAGTAAAAGCAATTATAGTGGGCTGTGTTAAAACACAAAAACCAAATATACCTAGATTCGATAGTAACAACATAGTATTGATTGATGACAATGGCACACCATTGGGCACACGAATTAATGTTCCCATTCCAATAATGCTTAGAACGATTTTAAAAGAAAAAACTATTGCTAAAGGAGCTGACTATACAAAATTATTAGCTATTGCCTCTACGTATGTATAATAGTCTTCGATATAAAATTAAAATAGATTTCAAAATATGTATAAGTTTTTGTAGTGTTAAAATAAAAGATTATTTAATGTATTTTGAGTTTTTTGACTATCTGCCCTAAAACTAACATAATACAACAAGGAATTAGTAATTTCTAATTCTTAATACCCTTTCAAGTTGTTTAAGATTACTTACTCATTTTGAACCTCTACCAACACTAGAACTTAGCAAATTTTTCTTCTTATGCTTGGTTGTAATCAGTATTTGTGTCCTAGTCAAAATTTACTGATCTACGGCTCAACATGGAATTGACAGTCCATATTAAATAAGTCTTATGGCAATTTGAATCTGTTCATGTATGAAAATCTAAACTTTTAGAAGTATATTAAAATTTAAAAACTGTCTCAGATTTTGAAATTCACCATAATTAAAACTGATAGAGTAGTTTTCTAATTTTTAATAAGGCCATTATAATATCAATACAAATAAATGCATGTTAATATTTGTTTATATAACTTAAAATTATTTATTAACGAAAATTTACAAAATCATTTGATATAAAATACAAAGCTATGTAATAAGTAATAACAATTGAAAACTTAGTAACATAATAATACTTATGTTACTAATTTTTGGTCAATCACATTAAGTTCAATTTCGTATTGTTGATCCAAACCAAGATAGCAATCGGACATCATATAAAATGTCCAATTAATGTAACCTGCAAAACATTTAATAAAATACAAATATAAAGGATTTTGAATACTGTTCTTAAGACATTTTCTTCAATATTTTTAAACAACTATTTTGACTTCTAATTTTTAAAAATTACTTTCTTTACTTCCCCCTTTTTATTTGAGTTAATGAACACCAATAAAAAATATATCATGTTTTTATGTTTTAAACACACCGAAAAAAAAAGTATAAATAAGTAAATAATATAAATATTTACTTGGGTTTTTGGGCGTACAGAAAGATAATCTACTTGAGGTGTTTCTATAACGATTATTTGCATTTCTTTTTAAAGCAATCAATTCCCATTTTTCAGCTGAACCAAGCACCATAAACCAACCCACATCTTTGGATTTAGAAAATTTTGGTGCGTGTGCTTTTGTTGGGACCAAACGATTCAACATTTTCATTTCAACTAATAAAGTGTATTCACAGTTGGCTATAATTTCCATTCGTTTTCCAGTCTCAACTAGTTTCTACAAAATTGCCCAAATCATATAGTAACATAATTATAAAGAAATAATTGTATTATATAATATATAACTAGGAACCTTTTGAATTTCACTATTGTCAGGCCAGAGTCCTTGTATGTACAATTTAACATTTACAACGGGCATTTCAATTATTGTTTTATAAATCTATATAAAGTACAAATAAATTAATGAATACTATTTTTATACTGAAATAAAATTAAAATAATTTCATATTATGATAATATAGCTTTTAATGTTTTTACTTTGTCAATTTCATCTGGTTCTAATTGGGTTCGCAACATAATTTCTGCAAACTGACTGTAACCTTTAAGAGCAACTTTACACAAATGAGGTAAACAAAGAGATGGCAGTACATGGGATGGTATCAAATGTTTTTCCACACCAGGCAATGTAATTACAGATGGTTCTGTCACCCACCGGGCTTGTATGACCATTTGCATGAGCTGTATCAATTTTAAACATAATACCAAGTAACCAGCTTCTGCACAGATATCAATCATTGCTTGTAATATACGAATAGATTGATCAAGAACTGATTTAAGGTCAGTTATGTAATCTGTACATGGCATTTTTAAATGTGAAAAATGAGCTTGGAGTAAGATTAAAGTTTTTGTATGTGAACATTCAAATGGCCGACCATCAATATCCAATGGACATTGCTTATCTAGTTCACTGTATCAAGAAAGACATATGAAATTATAAAATGTTTAACTAGTTTGTAAGCACATTAATAATAAATTATGTTGTATTTAACTGACTTACGCATTCATTAGATCTTCATTATGTCTAACGGGCAATAGACTGAATTCTTCAGCATCAACTAAAACTTTGATTAAATCCTCCATAGTAAGTTCCCCTTTTAATCTATCATGGAATGTTTTTACAGTTTTGTGCTGTAAATAGTAATAGGATGCTATATGACCTAATGGTGTTGATTTAACACTACGTTGATCCTAAAAAAAAAAAAAAAAAAATTAATGAAGTACCAGAACATATTTTTAAAAATTACCTCATCAATATCTAAACAATAACTTGAATACAATGTTCCAATGCATTGTTCAACCAAGTCTGAAAGAAAGGTATTTATGGAACTTTCTTCTAAACTATGTAGTCCGTAATATTCAGGATTTTTCATTAGCCTTTGAATTAGATACGTCCAAGTCAGATATTCAATAGCATCTTGTTTTGTTTTTATTGTTCCAGCAACTATTTCCGCATTAAAATGATCAGGCAATACATCTAATAATGATGACTCTACTGGGAATGGTTCATACAAAAATTTCTTGTAAAATGTTTTTTTTATATCATGAACCTGAAATAAAATACGAATAATAATTTTTACATATTGGTTTCTTACAATCATCAAGTAATTAATGTTTATGATGAAAGATTTGGTGTAAGAAATAATCTATAAATGGACAAGTTAAAATATTGCACTTTAAAATATTATTAATGTCAACATAATTAATATTATATTTTATTAATTTGCTAAAATTCGTCCTTATTTTGTATAAAGTTTTATTTATTAAGATGGTATATTACTAAAAAAAAAATGAACTCCAACAATTTAAAAATTTTTAACCCTTATTTGCACACATATTTATTCCTTACATAAAAAAATGTATGTAGTGCCGCTTAGTGTGCACTTAAGGGTTAAGTTTCAATATTATCTCTTACACCATTCAACTGTTAAAATAATTTAAAGTTTAATTATTATTAATTATACATATTGTGTACTAGAAAAACTATATACCATTATAAGGGCAATACCCATATTGTCATATTGAGGTCGCCCAGCACGACCCATCATTTGTAATACATCTGTTATGGGCATGTCCACGTACCTTTTTAGTTTACCATCATAAAATTCAGTTCCTTTAACTATTACAAAATGAGCAGGAAAATTAACTCCCCAAGCTAACGTTGAAGTTGCAATAAGAACCTGTAATGGAAATTTTTGATACAATTCTCCAAGAAATAAATTGTTAACTATTTAAAAAAATAAATTATTACTATTTAATATTAACTCACCTGAATATGTTGATTAACAAATAAATCTTCAACGATTTTACGATCTTTATCTTGTAACCCAGCATGATGTAGACCTAGTCCAAATGCAAGACAAAGCTTTAAGTTTGAATCTTTGATATTATCAATAATTTGTTCCATTTCCTAAAATACAAATTTAACTTAATAAAATGTCAGCACAGTGAGGTCTGTAGTCACAGGACTATAGGAATTATATAAGTTATGAAATCATTCTTAAATAAAACAAGTCGCACGGTGATCAGAAACGTAATTTTAGGTGGACAAAATTCAATATTCAGACATTTAAAAAAAAAAAATCCATTACATATTTATAGAAAAAATAATATAATTACATGGTCACTTTTGCGAACCCATTGTTTAGGGTTATCTTCACCACCCAAATATGCAATAAGATCTAGTGCAGTTAATCTAGTTTGTCTTCTTGATGACACAAAGATCATAACAGGTTGAGTTGGAGAGTGTTGACGAATTGCTTGATAAATAGGCTTGTTCATGGTCGCCATTCTTGGACAATAATTTCTTCCTGCGTAACCACTAATATGCACCTCAAGTGGAACTGGCCGTACAGATGGACGGAAATTGTAGAGTCCCATTTCACCAATATGTAGCCATGAGGCTAGATCAGCAGCCGTTGATAATGCAGTTGTTAGGGCAACAATCCGAGTACGTTGACCCGTATGTGTAGATATGAAGTTTATACGAGAAATGATAATTTCTAATACAGGACCTCGGTCTTCACCTAATAAATGAACCTCATCAAGAACAACTAAAGCCACTTGGCGTACATAATTTCGAGTTTGCCAGCTACGCGAAACACCATCCCATTTTTCTGGTGTAGTGACTATCACTGACGAACTAGTAATAGCTCTAATGTCCGGTGTAACATCACCTTAAAGAAATGTACGGTCAAATTAATGTTTAATAATTTAGCCAAGAACTTGGAAATATTATTAATACATAAAATACCTGTTAATTCTACAACAGATTTCTTTAATTTTTCCTCAAGTCTTACTTTCCAGTCAATCATGCGCTCTCGTACAAGTGCTTTTAATGGAGCAATGTACACAACCTAAAGAAGTAATAAAATATGTTGTCAAAATCATTACTGATACACCAATTTTTACACAGTAATTTTTTTTTAAACTTACTTTTGCTTCTGGTTGTTCATTAAAAACTCTAAACATTGCAATTTCTGCAGCTATGGTTTTACCAGATCCAGTAGGTGCCCCTAAAAGTACATTGTTGTCGGTATAATACAAACAGTGAAATATTTGTGTTTGAATTGGATTGAAATGTGTAAATGAATACAAATTTTGATAATTCTCGTTTTTAAGAGCAGCTAATGGTAATGGCTGTAGTTCAAGTAAATCTAAAAAATAATTTAGACTTTAAATAATGCAATATATTATGTTGCAATTTGCATTGAAAAATGTTATAATATTATATACCTGTTACTGATGCGTGACTATGTGGCAATATAAGATGTTGAAAAGTCAAAGGTATAGTGTATGTTGTACCCAACCATCTATCTGAAGTACAATGTAATATGTACTGGGACGGTAGTGGTTCAACTAATGGTATTGTAAAAATTAATTTTTGTGTTTCTTTTTTCAGTACCTGTAACAGTTTATAAAATGTAACAAACAAGTAGTAGAATACTTATAATTTGATGCTTGTACTTAATAAGTTTTCAAACCGAAAAGCACAAAACACCTATAGATTGTGAAGATTATCCCTAGTCATAATTTTTTAACTACTTTTTAAATTTCTTCAAAAAGTATTAATTTTAGTATAAAGTAGGGATTTTAATAGAAACATTGATAGAATACAAATTAAAAGATCCAACTTAATTGTTTATTTTTTATAGTTAGGATGTTAAAAATAATAATTTTACCTGTCTTTTTGAAATTAAAAACTGTTCCCAGTGATAAATTTGGTCAGTTTCTGGATCTTCAATCCATATCCAAAATGCAACAGAAGTTTTTCCGTGAATTCTATCATTCCACTCAAAGTCAGGGTAAAGTTCAAGATTTATCTTTAAAATAGTTCTGGTAATGGGTTGAATGTTTTCAGTAGCTTCCATATATGGCAGTTGCATGGCACATTTTTTCACAGCTACTCCTACATTTTGGTTTCTCAAAATAATACCTGAAATAATAATAAATATATTGTAGTTACTTTACAGATTAAATTGTTATTTCTAAGTAAACAAAAAAGAAAAATTATCCACATGTGCATAAATTATACTTTATTTTATAGATTTCACATGATTACATGACTGTATTCAGTACAGCTATGTAATTATTGTTGAACAATTAACTATTCTTCTGTTGTTGCACTTAAATACTTACAAAAAAAAAAAAATAATAATTACCCAATTCTTTAGAATCCATTTCCCTTATACGATTAAACGTTAGCCTTCTCTGTTCAATTTTATCAATTATTTCCCATGGTAGAATTTCTGAAAACTGCCTAAGTTCAGATTCAAAATCCCATTGTCTCATCTCAAACATTTGACTAACTTCTAATAATTTGGATGTCAACATAGCATTATTACGACGCAATACCATGTCAAATAAGGCTCGTGCAATTCTTGTAGCATTCTAATAAGTATACACTATTTTATTACAAATGTTAAACTATTGAAATTTGTAAATAATTATTTATTTATTTATTAATTAACTAATATTATTTATTTATTACTAAAGGGTTATGACCAGATAAATTAAAGAAAACAACATACTTGTGAAATATAAACAAGATCAGATATTAATGAAAATGCTTTAGCTCTGCCTCGGCCTAAGTAAGTTTGCAACAAGATGTTAACTTTTCCATTCACGTTTACAGCGGATCCAGTGCATTCGACTTGGCAATATTTACGACCTAATGACTCAAGTTCAATTACTTCATCATCTCGAACCTATTATACAATTAAAATATCAATATCTACAATCATAAACACTATTGATACTATTATTTTTTTTACTTGAAGTTGCTCAAACTCTTTAGCACTAGCAATCATATTCAAAATTTCCGATAAATTCATAAACGGTCGCAGTGTTTGATTAAATATTTCAACACTATCATAGCTAATGTAAAAATGACTAGCAGTTCGTCCCATATCTAAAGATTCAAATGAATCGTAAACGATTTAATAAATTGATAGATAGTAGCTTTTAGTTTTATATACCAGTTGATGAGAGATCTCCAGTTCTTTGATTGTAACGTAACATTTGTGCTTTATCCAACAACATTGCAGCATTAATAATGAACTCTTTCCTTTTGTTAACTAACATAGGATCTAACTAACAATACAAATTGAAATGTTGATAACAAATTTTCTTTTGTCAATATTTTAATGAGCATTCTAAAATAATTACTTCAACTTCTTCAAGAGATATGCCATATACATGAGGATTTATACGCATTCTAACAAACAAATAAGTATAGCTTAGCCATAGAACTGCTTCTTCAACATTTGATATTGTTCCTAAAACCACCTAAAAATATAATAACTCATTACTCATTGTATTGCATATAATATATATATATATATATATATATATATATATATATATATATATATATATGTCAATTGTATTTAAATATCCTTATACTTCAGCATTTAAATTGTTAACAAGATGTTGTACAAAGCAACTTTCAATTGGTATCTGATTTGTAAGTAAAGATAAATATTTGTGAAGTTTAGTATGAGGAGTGATGATCATTCCATGTCCAGAAGTATCAAATTGAGGACGACCAGCTCGTCCAAATATTTGCAATACATCAAGCATACCTAAGTCTACAAATGTTCCATGTTTGGAATCATAAAGCTCAGTACCCTTAAAATAATAAATCCTAATAATTAAACATAAATTTATATAGAAATTATTTATTTATTTGTTTTTCATACTTTAATGATAACTGCATGAGCAGGAAGATTCACACCCCAAGCTAATGTTGCTGTACATACTAAAACTTTAATAGCTCCTTCCGCAAAATATTTTTCCACAAGATTTCTATATAAAATGTATATGATGAAATCCCTAGTTGTATAAAATAATAACTGTAAATACCTATCGGATCTCAAAAGACCTGCATGATGAACAGAAAATCCACTGTTCAACAATTCGCTGAGTTCTTTGGAATGGCAACGTTCAAATGCTTTTTTGGCAATCCCTATTCTGTTGGAATCTTGTGGCAAAAAAGCGGTTTGATGATTCTTTTGGGTTGCAAGTTCTCTAAATACGTTAGCTGTCTTGACAGTAGCATTACGAGCATGCACAAACACCATAACCTAAAAAAATAAAAAAATTAGTAAAAATCGATAGATAAATTTTAAAAGTATAAACCTTTCTATTATAATAAATTAAAGATAAACTGTCCTTTACTATACAGCAATAAACACTGATTCCCGTAATAGTTATAATTCATAAGTCGGCAAATTATTATTACTAAGAAATAGTTACAAGAAATGGAATGAATAAGTTCTTTTAGTCAAAAAAAGTTAATACATACTTGATGACCTTTTTGAACCATATCGTAAACTTTTTCATAGCAAACTGAATCCATTTCTTGTTGCAATTTAATAGTTTTACCTCCGCGAACACCAATAAATGTCTGAACTAGAGGCACCGGACGAAAACGGCTATCAAAGTAAAATAATCCTTTATGCAAATTCACCCTTAGAAAACGAGCTACATCTTTGTAGTTTGGTAATGTTGCTGATAATCCGACAATCCGAATCATGCTCTGAGAAGACTCAACTTGTCTTAGTGTTCGAGCTACAAGAGCTTCTAGAACAGGACCTCGGTCGCCATGCAATAAATGCACTTCATCAATAATTAGTAACTTTACTAAACTAGTTAATGCGATATCACCTGTAACCAACATTAAAACTAATATTCAAACTTTCTGTAGAAAACTTAAATTGTTTTACCAGAGCCTTTACGAGTAGCTACATCCCATTTTTCAGGCGTCGTTACTAATATTTGAGTGTTAGTAATTTCTGTTTTAGTTAATGACATATCACCGGTAAATTCACGAACTGCTATGCCTAATGTAGAAAGGCGTTTAGAGAAATTTGCTGTCATTTCAGCAGCTAAAGCTTTCATTGGAGCAACATAAACAATCTTTAAACATAAATATTAAACAATTGTGGTAATTTTCTTTAAATAGTTCAACAAATGTATAAATACTGTACTTTAAATTCATTCTTATTAATTTCGTTATTTCTAATATGTTGTTTAATTTGATGTACTATAGTCAATAGAGCAACATTGGTTTTACCAGCTCCAGTTGGGGCACATACCAGAAGATTTTCATTAGTATTATATGCAGCATCAAATACAACAGATTGTATTCTATTAAGGTTAGTAATACCACTAAAAGTCTTTTGGCCAACCTAAAAAGTTAAATTTAATGACATTATACTCAGTAGTCTATATAATTAAAAAGAAATGAGTAGCCAAAAAATCCACAAGTATTATAAATCTAAATTTATATTTTTAAAAAAATTACGATTCAAAATAATAAACTTGTTTTTTTTAACTAAATGTCATCTAAATTTATAATATCTCTCTTGACACCAGTTTTCTTCTTATACAAAATTATACAATTAATACGCTTAAGAGGACATGGCACCACATGTATTTTGACCGCAAAACTTGTTGTGCGGGGGAAAATATTTTTTGGGTTGTACTAGTAGTAGAAATACAACATTTTTACAGTACACAGAGAAGAACATTACCTGTGTCATGTTTTAATTTTTTTAATAACTTAACACAATCCAAGTTATAATCCTAAAGATGATATTTTTCATTTATTCATTGTTTTCAAAAGTTAGGTAAGTAAGTATTAATATTAAAAATAATAAGAATGCTACGGCACAGATAAAGTTTTCTTCTATGTAATGTGAAAGTGTGGTAGTTTACCTCATAAGTTTGTCCCTTGCAGAGCAGTTTTAATAAAAAAAAAATATTGTAATTTATCCTATAGAGATGACTTTGATAGTCTGACAAATCAATAAAGAATTTTCATTACTATATTAATAAGTATACACTATAGTTTAAGCTGTAAATTAAGATGAGGTGTCCCGTCGTCTTAATAATTATTATAAAGTGGCACAAAACAATTTTACTTCATCTAATGTTGTAATCGCAATAAGATTTTTTCCAACAGTTAATTCTTCTGATAATTTTGTTACTGGTATATAAACCTCTTCGTGTGTTTTGAAGTCAGTTCTTTTAGCTCCCAAAGGGATAGTACATGCTTCTCCATTGATATAACCTAAATAATTAATCCAGAAAATTTAATATAACTATAAATGAACAATACTTACACAAAAAATATAATTTAATCTTACAATTGGACACTTTTAATTCTGTATTCAAATCATAAACATGTGGATATTTTTCAGCCGGTGGTACTTTACGGCTCTTTGGGTCAATATACATTGGAACATTTGGTGCACTAGTACTACAATATAATATGCTTTTTAATACATTTCAATGTTATAATATTAGTTTAATAGTCATACGTCTTAGAGACTATCTTAACAGATTCATCATCAGAATCTGCGTCTTGTTTGCGGTTCAATTTATGCAATGCTTTTTCCTCTTTTCTAATTTCTTTTCTTAACTGTCTATCTTCTTCTGTTTCAATTGTAATCATTTCCATATGTCTAGATCTTTTATCCATTCCTGAATAAAATAGAAGTAGTACATATTATTATGTTAAAATATATTGTAAACTGATACATGTTTAAAATTATAAGATACTTAAATGTTGCTCAAAACACGTTCTAAGTGTAAAATTAAAAATGTTTCACTATTAAAAATTAAAATTAAAACTTATTTAGTTTGGAAAATGTACTATTTTTCATAAACTCTTATACGTTTATGAAAAATAGTGCATTTTGTAAAATAAGTTTGCGTTTGATTTTAATTTTTAAGTACTGAAAATTTTAAATATTATACTTAACACATATTTCCCGAGCACCATTAAATTTTACTCTATCAAGATTTCAGAATTTATGGTATTACAATTCACCAATTATATATTTACACAATTATTATAATTATTTAAAATACATAAATTTTAATTTTATAAATAACCTTCAATTAAGTTTACCAAAACTTCACAGTATAAAAATACAGAATTTTTTTAAATTTTATTTAATAAAACATAATTATTTTATTCATACTTAAATCTTTGGAAATCCCACCCATTTTCTTCTCATTTGTAGGTAAATATTGTTTTATTATATCTTTTCTGTGTTTTAAAAGAGTTTCTATAAGTGTAAGTCTTGTATAGCCGAGCAGGCTAAACAGCTGTAACATAAAATGAAGACATAAAGATTTGTACAAAAAACAAACACAAGTTTCATAATAATAATAATAGTCATTAGTAGTTATAAATATAATAGTTTTATTTTGTATAGCATAGTAAATGTACTTGGTTTAATTTTTAGTTTATTATAAACTGGTAGAATATATATTAAGAATACATACAGTAACAAGGTTTCCTACACTGTTTATTGTTATACGACATGACGTGTGTATAATGTGTATTATACAGATCACCATTTTTTGTTCCGCTTACATTTTTTTTACATTGATAGCCCTATTCAACTGGATCTTATATGCGACCACAGTTATAGATAACCCAATATGCGACCTATGAAGTTGTGATAAGATTGATTAGCCACTGACAAGTGACAATATAGACTCTCTATAGTATCAGTATACACTTGTAGTAAACTAGTAACTAAACTAACGGCATTGAACATTCTTAATTTCTAACTAACTAGATATTTTCATGTTTTTTAGTTAAATTTAATAGTTAATTTATTGTTATTCGTATACAGTGGTTTTTTGGTAAATAAAATATGTTTACAATGGAAGACCTAAAGTTAACTATTACTACTGAAGTATGTACATCCAACATCATAAAATATATTAGTACTAAAACTGGTATGCCACCAACCGACTTTTACTTGCTCTCTAATGGAAAAATATTAAATGGAACTACGATACAATCTGCTACTATCAATATAGTACCACGGTTACTGGGAGGTAAAGGAGGTTTTGGATCTATGTTACGAGCAATTGGTGCTCAAATTGAAAAGACAACAAACCGTGAAGCATGTCGTGACTTAAGTGGGAGACGTTTACGCGATATCAATGAAGAAAAACGAGTGAAAGAGTTTTTAGCAAAAGGTGGCCCATCAACAGAAGATCCTGAAGAGCGTAAAAAACGTAAACTACAACGTTTGTGTCAAGCACCAAAAACTGAATTTAAAGACGAACATTATGAAAAAAAGATGTCTGAAATGACAGAATCTGTATCTGATGCAGTAGAATGTGGTTTCAAAGCTGGCACATCAGAACCTCCTAAAAAGAAGAAGATACGATCTAAAGGATATTTTGATTCTGATTTGGACACAGATAGTAGCGACAACTCAGATGAAGAAAAAAATGATAGTGTTAAAAATAAATCATCAAATGAAGAATCTTTAGACACAGACAAAACTAATAAACGAAAAACTTCTGAATTGGAAGAAGACACATCTATTTTAATTAAAAAAGTAAAATCTAGTAATAATTAAATTTATAGAAAAGTACTTGTACATTTTTTTACCTATAACTTTATAACTCAGTATTTTGACAGATGTTAAATAAATAAGAATTTTGATTGTAATTTTTAAAAATAAATTTCTTATTTAAAAAAATTGTTTTTAAAGATTTCTCATTTAATATAGGTAGTTCACCATCTAGATTCTAGACCTTAATTACTGGATATGGATTCTGATGCAAGTATCAAATGGCCATTTCGTCAGATCACATATTTTAAAAACATAAGTTATTTAAATTTCACATAGAAAAAATATAACTTTAACATATTCACCGAAGTAAGAGTAGTTCTGCTTTGTGTTATGTTGTGCCATTTGGCAGAATTTTTAGTTTGCACTATTTAGATTTCTGCCATACCTAGAGGGGGATGGCAGTTTTTCCTAAACAGGTGGCCCTGCCCAGAGAATTTGGCGACCCTTGACAGCACTGCCAAAGCAGCAGTGTTCTTTTTATTAATTATATTTTTAGGAGACTGAGTGCACCGTTCTAATATAATTATTAAAAAAACAATAACTTACTGTATACAATATACAGAAATACTAGTTATGATGGTAAAGTGGCTTCCTAAGTGGCTGGATAAGAAATTGTCTAATAAAAAAAACCAGACTAATAATAGTTACTCCAGTAGTATACATACTTCATCCTGAAGCTCAGTATCAGATTTTTGTGATGAAAGGGCTTCAGTAATGCTATTATAGTAATCTTCATCAGACACACCTAAGTTTATAACTGATGTTTTTGAAATTTGACTTATTAACCATGTTTTATCAAACTAAAACAAATAATAAATATATTTAATCATCAATTTACGATAATTATATCTGCAGTCCCGGGGAAAAACTAGAAGTAGATTTTTTGTGATATAAATATAATAAATATATTTTAAACAACTATTTACTTTTATACTTACCTGCTTTTAAGCAGTATGTAGTTCAACAAGATGCCCCGGGCAATAGACTTATCTAAATTTCACAAAAATCGACTTGTCTAGTTATTCTCCGGGACCGCAGATATATGTGTATATATATTGAATAGGGCCCAGAAGTTCATGCATTTGCATAATATTTAAATGGTCCAAAAAATAGCTTTATAAGCTACAAATTTGAGTTACATTTTAAAGGAGTCAAAATAAAAAAATTGTTTTTCATATTCAAGGTTTCTTCATATTTACTCAAATTTTTTAATACTTACATCAATATTTGCAACATATTTTACATATTTTTTTTAATTGTGTTTATCTAAAAGTACTGATTAAAATACTGTCCGCATAAGACAATTTTTTTTTTATTAAAATTAAAAAAAAATAGCAAAAAGTAGTCATTTTATTTATATAATTTATTTGCAACTAAATATTATAAATTTAAATACTTTTTTTTATAAAAAACCTTTTTTTATTTAAACTATAGTTACAATTATTAGTCTCAATGTAGAAAACTAAAAATAAAATTTTAAATAATGTTTAGTGTATATTTTAAGGTTTATTATTGCAAATATAGGCCATTTGTAGGGTAAAACGCATATTTTGGTTGTTTTAAGAGCATAAACCTCCGGGCCCTAATAATGAGATATACATTACATTTGTTGCACTAATATGTTTCTTTTCTTCTCCATTATATCGCATGGAAAATGAATTTAAAACACTCTTTAACCCTACATTAGGTGTAGGTAATTTTCCAAAATCAGGAGGTACCCATTTTGATCTTGATTTATAAAATGAATGATCAAGTGATATGTTCTGTTCATTGGTTTTTTTTTCTATTTCCCTATTTTTATTTGTATCTATTTTTTCCCATAAATTTTTGATCTTTTGAATATTATCTTCTTGTAGTAAATTTTCTATCTCTTTTACCAACTGCAATTGAATAGAAAAAATTAGAAATACATCTAGTAAAAAAAAATATTTGTTACCTTAAATATTTGATCAGCGTTTTGATTTGACACTTTTCCAAACATACTTCTAAGCTCTAAAATATGTTTCATTAACAATCCAGATACACCAATTAACAACTTGAAAAAAAATAATACCGCTGAACTTAATATTTCAGGTTGTTCGTCTTTTGCTAGAATTAATATCACCATGCATTAGAAATTAAATTTAGTATTTACATTAATAAGATATAGTAGATCATATTTTATAATATTTTGTTCTCAACAAGACGTTATACTGGTTATTTTTTATTGTAAAAACCCGACTACACAGAATGATTATTACATGCGCCATGATGGTTTTAGCCCAAAAACACTTAATATGAAATTGAAAGATAATGGTATTTAAAAAGAAATATTCTATTAAATTGACAAAATGTTTATTTTTTAGCCTAATATTTACTATTGAAAAAAGGCATTTTTTTAATAGTCATAACCTTTTTTCTAGGATAAATATCTTTAAAAGCGAAAATGATATTCTCTGCAAAAAGTTATTCTATTTGGTTTTATATTAGATGTATTATTTTAATCCATCGAGGAGTGAGTAAAAAGCATTCTAACTAATCATATTCTTATGCTAGAAATTTGACTGTATAAAGTAGTCCTCTTACGACATCTGAAAGACAAAATTTATTGAATATAATTTAAAAATGATTACGTTAAAATGAAAACACCAATGCTATTACAATTTAACCTGACAATAATTTTACACAATATTAATTTATTAAAACAAAATATTTTTGTCAAATACCGCTTATGCTTTTTCCTCTTAATCAATAGATCTACATTAAGTCTCAATTTGTTCCAGGGCCGTATTTAGGATATATTATCCCTTAGGCTAGCCTATGATGTGGGCCCGGGGCCTTACCATGGGCACAGGAATATAATATTTAATACATTGGTGGCCGGTTGCCTCTTTTTTTTGCACACCCTTTCCATCCAGGGGCGGTTCTAAAAATAAATTTCTTAAATAAAAAATAAAAAATTATTAATAAAAATATAAATAGTTCATAATCAAAAAGGTTAGAAGTAAAAAACAGAAATAGGTGAAAAAGTATGCAAAAGATATAGTGTGATTTTTTTTATCATGGGCCACTCAATATTTCATAGGGTTTCATAAGAAATTGAATTTTTTTTTCATGTTGTTTTTATACAATGTTATCTCAATTTTCATAATATTTTTTGTTTTTATCCCCCCCCACCCAACTTTGTTTTTCGATAGCAACTTTTGAAACTTAAATTACAACTTGTATATTTCATCAACGTTTTGAATTAATAATAATGAACTAAAAATGTTGACTGGTTATTAACCAGTTTAAAAGTTAGGATAGCAAGGGAAGTGCGGTTGCAAAATGCGCGCAGATAAAAATAATACTACACTCTACTATTCCTCCTGCTCTAAACTTGAAACTTCAATAACTTTAAAAATAGTGTTGCTATGTGGTAATAATAACTATACAACATCAATGGTATTATTATTGTCAACTTATATTGATTAAGAAAACTATTAAAGTTCATAAAAAATTCTCAAAACATAATTTTGTATAGCATAGAGCACAAATATTTTAATTTATACTAAAAAAATAGTTTTTAGTGCGGGCCCTTCTGTGGTGCGGGCCCCTAGGCTGTAGCCTATGAAGCTTGCGCTTAAATACGGCCCTGATTTGTTTTTATAATATATCATAGAATGATATATTATGTAGAAGCATGATAGTGTTTTTATTTTTTAGACTTGAACATAAAATACAAATTTATCACATAAATTATAAGTGTAAATCGTAAATTTATAAGACAATAGGAAGAAGGAAGTTGTGACATTATCTCACACTTAGCATGACAATCACGCAAAGTTTTTTCATTGACGCTCAGCCTAAAATCATTATCATGTTAAAATGAATGTATGAACTTAAGAAATTTAAAACAGTGTTAACAAACTTTTTAATAACTATAACTTAATACATTTTTGCTAACTATGAAATGATGAATAATACTTACAAAGCTCTTTAGCTATTTCATATAATGTCTTAAGGTTTTTTGAAATAATATTATTCTTAGATTCATTTATAACAGAACAAATTTCTGAATATGAAAGAGTTCTGTAAAAATTAATAAATATTTATAGTCAACACAGCAAATATATATCACAAATATTACGATATTTATAAACATTTATTTAAATACAAATATAACATAATTATTAATAGATTTATCACTAATAAAACAAATGTATAGTATTCTTTAAATAATTAATAGTATTTAACTGTTATATTGTAACAATTCAAATCATTAAAGAACACCAAATTGTATTTTTAGTATAATAGACAATAGTAATATTAATTGTCTATATTATTACTAGACACCCGATAATGAATAATTGTTTATTGGATCTATCTATTATACTTTATAGTAGCACCCACTTGTAAAAGACTTTATAGTTTGAAACTTGGAACCAATAGTTTTTACTAGTTGCTGAACTCTGCTGGTACAATTACTAGTTTTAATATTATTATAAATAAGAAGTAGTGTCACAACGTTCTAAAGAGTCTGAGATAAACATTTTTTTGCACTCTAGAATATATATATACTGCAACAATTGCACTGGGGTAGTGGCTATTCCCAAGTTAGCTATACCGTTATAAATGATTATACATAAAAATACTTATTTGCCCTTCTCATGAAATCTTCCGTATTGTTCACCTGACTGTTTTAGCAACATGTGTAAAGTACTACAATGGTGTACATAAGTGTCAACTATTAAACTATATTATGTTCGATAATAATTTACAGTATTTTTTGGCATAAAAAATTGAATTAAATATAATGAACAATAATACAATTTTAACAAGATATCAAATTACTTTTGCAACTGCTTTTCTTCTTCAGTTATCCGTTCTTTAATAACATCTAAATTATAATTCCACGTATTTATTGGATCCATATCATCTATTGATCCAATAGAGTATGTCAAAAGAGCCCTTGTGAACCTGGGCAACTGCCCAATGTGTAAGGGCAATTTGTCTTTTTCTCTAGCCATTTCTTAAATAGAACTAAAAAAAAAAATGTTCTGATTATAACTTATTTTTTATCTACCATTGCTTAGACAGTTTTTAGTCTAGCAAACATTGGTACTGTAATAATTAATATATTTAACTAACATATTATGATTGAAACAAATAATAAGTAACATGCAAATATATAATTATATTTAAAAATTGCTTACTGTTGTCTGTTATCACTTTTCACGTGACAGTACTTATTTACCACATTATTATCTATAATCATGGTCTATACATATTAAGGTATCATTGCATTGGTGACGGTTATTCTAGACTTTGGTTTATACCATTATCAGCATGACGATTAACGATAACATGTTATCAATGTACCAAATGCGCAGTTTTGATTATATTTTTAACTCATTGATACAATTTGCACCATCGTCAGACGTCTGCATACACTATTTCGCAAATGACTTAACTCTTTACCGTCAACAATGTAGTTAATTTTTTTAATTATATCATAATATGAATAAATGGGCTATCATACCCATGTTCGGTACTAAAAAAAGGAAAATTTTCACGCAATAAAGCTACAGGCCGTAAGCATCTGCACAACTTGAAGGTTCTGGAGAACAAAGGGTAAAATCAATTTCCTATTAATAAAATTGCTGTCACACTTTGACCTCCTACCATTATTTGCTTTGTGTTCTTTTTTTTCTTGATAAAATTGTAAATTCTTGTCTTTCCTGTTTCTAGTACAAGTGCACTGTTAAGTTTCATCACATAAGTTTCATTGTTGTTTTTAATTGTCATACCAAAATCAATTTCTATGATATTTACAACTGAAGTTGGTATTTAATTAAGTATGTTTTAGACATCAATATGCCCGAGTCAGGATATCAAGTTCTTAGTTCCGAAAGAGAAGAAGAAGTTCGATTTCAATTTACACCTAATATAGCTAGAAGTGAGTACTGAACTATAATAATATGCTAATAATTCATTGCATACATACACTTATCCATAAACATAAATTTGAAATTTAAATGTCTTCAATCAAATGATTACCAAATGACATCAATTAATACAACTAGTTTAATATACTTGTTTTAAAAGTTTTTGGTAAATTTATGTTTATCAATTTTATTTAAGTACAAGACAAAAAGCCAACTGCAAAATTAATCTAAATAATATTTAATATACCTTAAATTCAATCCTCATCATATTTCAAATATTTATTTCCTTGGAGAAAAAAAATATAACTATAAAACATAATTAATGTTTCACCTTAAATATTACAAAAAAGTTGTAAATCTAACCTCATTGTTTCATTAATTAACTTAAAAAAACTTTTTATTTTAGTAGGTTACATTAAATTTCCAGCTGTCATTCTTTCTCAGCTCTGTAACTAACTTCTAAGAAATTGTTATTTTATTTGTTATTTTATATTTAAAGATTTTAAAGCCAAGTCAAATAAGTGTTATGTGCCTAATTGGTTATGAAAGTTGTAAAGATAATATTGATAAATATCCTTAACACTCGGAAATAAGAAAAATAGTAGATTTTAGTAATTTGACAGAAATATTCATTTAGGCAGATAATATTTATTATCTTGTAATACATGTAATAATTTAAAACCATATTTTTTTTAAATCACTGTACTGTGTACACATACAATTTAAATTTTTTATATGATTAATTTTTATGAAGTATGAACACTAGTTCCAAGTATAAAATATTGATATAATTTAAATATTACCAAACATTTTATTTATTTATATTTTATCAGACACTCCTTATGTAATATAGATGCCAACAATTTATAGCAATATCAAATTATTCATATTGTTACCCATTATTCATTTTTAGACTAATAAGTAAAATAGGACATGTATAGTGTTTTTGTTATAAATACAAAAAATGTAAGCACTAGTATATAATTTTTAATTTTTTTGAAAAACAGATAGCTAAATTAAAAAAATGTTTTTCTAGCCCGATGGAATCATATAGAAGATTTAGATACATTTTTTACCAGAATTTACCTATATCATCAAAGACATGGGTTTCTATGTCTACTTCTTCAAGCAGCTCTCGACCTCTTGCAAGTTGTTTTTCTACTGGTGTTTTCTTTATTTTTATTCTACTGCATTGACTATCCAGTGCTTTTCAGGTATGATTCAATGTTAAGTAATTTGTATAAATAATAAAAATGATATATTCTTTAACTAATATAAGAACTTTTTGACTTAGTCTAGAAAAAAAGTAACATTTGTGGACTTATATAGTTCAGAAAAAAATAATTAAATATTTTTAAAACAACCTCAACAACAAAAATATACTTTAGCGTATACACATATTTCGGTAGGAATGCTATCACATCATTGGTGCTTACTCAGTCTTTCTTGGGCTCTGTTGATAATAGCATTAATACCAAAATATATATATAAATATATATGCCAATGTATATTTTTGACCATTAGTTTAATTTGTATTTTAAAAGTAAACTTTTACTAGACTTTAATTTGAATAAACATTAATTGATAGGCGATGCCATATTATTTTTTGGCACCTCTGTTTTGGACCCGATTATGTTGATCAATAGCAAACTGAATAAGCACTAGGCCCAGTGGGCTAATTTAAAGACAGTCTACAAAATTAAAAAATTGGTATTTAATTATTAACAATATCAGTCCTTGGAGACACAAACATAAAATAAATTACTGGCTCTATAACCTGAAATGGGAGCAACTCAATGGGCATTTGCCCACCAACCCTTCAGGTTTCAATTACAAATTTTTAATTTGCATTAATAAAACTGGTTGCAAAATAAGTATATGACATGGTCTATCGATACAACATACTTAACCAATAGTAAATGATTTAGACTTATTGTTAGTTTGTATTTTTGTGTACAAATTTATAATTATACATGGTTAAATATATTAATTTATTACACAGAGATAAGCCTGCAGACCCAGGAAAAGGGACTAATAGTACTGATAAAGTAAGACTATCTGATGTCATTCTGCCAACATCAAAATGTATTAGTCAGTTTACATTTTTGACATATTTATACATGCTACCTTTGCTAATATTTGCCATTTTTCGATTGATGAAACTATTTAGTGTGGCATATCATTATGGTGATATTAAAGCATTTTATAATATTGCTCTACACATACCTGATGTAAGCTAGTTGTATAAAAAAATGTTTTAAATTAATATTTTTAATTTTAGTATAAATTCTTATAATATTTTACTTTACATAAAATTATAGAAAGAATTAGAAAATTACACTTGGCGAGAAATTGTTCAAAAAGTTATTGAAGCACAAAAAGAACAACACATGTGTATACATAAGCTTGACCTCACAGAACTAGATATTTATCAACGAATTCTAAGGTACCATTATACTATACAATTTTCAAAAAAATTATAATACCTACTTAGTTTTCTAACCAATTCATAATTGCTTTTTATGGTATTTTTGTGGGTATGGTAACTATGTATATTAATGAAATTACTGAAAACAAAACAGTACTCTTTATTACCTTAAATTTTTTAATAATAAAAAGATAAACACAAATAATACACAATGTACATAAAGACTTACTGGTACTGAACTATCTCTGAACAAAAACTGGCTAGCTTGTCCTTAAATTGCAGTGTTTGTATACCACAAAGGCGGAACCACCTCAAACATCTGGCGATTAGGCGCACTTAAGAATTTTTGAGAAACTTTGACACAAGTGTATGGCATGAGACTGGTTGATTTTGCGCCTCCTGCACCTTTCCGGAATGTACCTCTTGCGCGTGCTGCTACCTGTCTCCATAAATGTTTCCTTTACCCTTATGTCTGCTGTAACAGTATTTTAATTGTATGTTTATATTTTTTTTTTCAGAACAAAAAACTACTTAATAGCCTTATTAAATAAATCTATACTTCCTACACGCTTCAATATACCATTTTTGGGCGAATTAACTTACTTTTCTCATGGAATGAAGTATAATTTAAATTTATTACTTTTCTGTATGTGAAATATCAAAATCTTTGCATATTAACCCTAAAACTAATTTTGTTGTATAAAATTGTTTATTATGTTTTAGGGGGTCCATGGTCACCTTTTGAAAACAATTGGCATCTGAAACCGGAATATAAACAAGCGGGTAAACGTTTAGAGTTAGCTCAATCATTGCGTAAGGCAATTGGTTGGGTTGCTTTAGTAAACTTATTACTTTGTCCTGTGGTTTTTACTTGGCAACTTATTTACAAATTATGTGACAATGCTCAGGTAAATTGTTTACTATACATTTATTATAAACAATTTAATTTTATATTTAAATTACAATGTGTTTTATTAGATGGTTAAAAATGAGCCAAGTGTGCTTAGTGTGCGAATGTGGTCATTGTATTCCAAAATATATCTTCGCCATTTTAATGAACTAGATCATGAACTCAGTGCAAGATTAAGTCGTGCCTATGTTCCTGCAGCTAAATATTTACAAAGTTTTGCTGCTCCTATTAGTGTTATTATTGCTAAGTAAGTCCCCTAACTTAATTATTATATTTGATATGATATATTTTAAAAGTAATATTTTTATTTTCAAGGAATACAATGTTTTTTACAAGTGCTATCATGGTACCAATACTTGCACTAACCATTTATGATGATAGCATTTTAACAATAGAACACATGATAACCATATTGAGTGGATTGTCACTTTTGTTTCTAATTTGCCGGTCAGTTAAACACAATAAGTATTCTAAATAAAGCTACAACTATACTTCATAGAAATTTTTTAAATTTTGATTGAATATATGCTCAGTAGGTTTATATTTTTTGTAGAAGTCTAGTTGATGATGAAAAAGAAATTGTTTGTCAAGAGTCATTAATGACGGCTGTATTAGCTGAAGTTCATTATTTACCAGATTCATGGGTTGGAAAAGCTCATACTCAACAAGTCAGCAATCAGTTTTCTCAAATTTTCCCATTCAAAGCTGTATGTGATTTCCATTGCATTATTTTATATTATAACATAATTTCGAGGATATTGTATTTATTTCAGAATTATTTAATAAACGAACTTATTTCACCTCTAGTCACACCATTTATATTGCTTTTCTGGCTACGTCCAAGAGCCTTAGAAATAGTTGATTTTTATCGTAATTATACTGCTGAAGTAGCAGGCGTAGGTGATGTTTGTGCATTCTCGATGATGAATTTAAGAAAGAATGGCAATCCCACTTGGCGATCTCCTGGGCCTAATACATCTGAAAATCCTGTATCAAAGTTACCACAGGTAGATCAAGCTGAAGATGGAAAAATAGAAATGTCCCTTCTGAATTTCTCAGTGCGAAATCCTACATGGGATCCTGTTGATATAGAAGCTAAAGAATTTGTAGAAGAAATAATAGCAAAAACACGAAAAGTCTATCCGGCAACTAGTGAATCTTTTATGGATCCTGTAAGTTTTTAACTTAAAAAAAAATAGTGTCATTAACCATTTATCATGTACCTATGTTTTATTAAATTAACACAATTTTACATTAATTTAGATCATACAACACGAAATAACAAATAGCAATTTACACATAGCCGAAATACCTTCATGTTTACTTGGTCTTGACCAGAGCACACGTTTATTACATAAAGAAGGGTATGATGTTAATTTTTATTAATTAGTACTCATTTTAGATATTATTTGTGTTTTATATATTATATATAATATGCTATGTATTAAAGTGCCCCATATTTTATTCTTTTTTGAATTCATGGTTTCCACCTCTCAATTGTCTCCAAATGACATAAAAAAAATGATTGATAAGACGACTATGCTGTATATGAGTACATATTATGTACTCATATACCTTATATATTGTGTGTGTAGTAATGTAATATACATTATATTACTAAAAATCCCAAATTTAATTGTATTATGATTTTAGTTTTAAAAAATGTCTATATATAATTGTATACATTTTCAGATTAACTGGCCGCCCTAATCGAATTAATACTAATTCAATTATGTGTTCTTCAGCATTTACCACTTCTGATTATTTAGTGTCAATTGAATTAAATCAGAGTGCACTGTTGCTCCACAGCATTCATAGGAAGTAAGTATTAATTAATTGTTTTTTAACTGATGTATTATCATTATCCTGCTTATATATTTAGACAGTTGGAAGAGCGAGGTAGTTTTGCAAGTACATCTGTTGCCCCATCTACTTCTCAAAAGACCAATATTCCTGTTCAAGAGCGTACACCGTTGTTAAAACCTGGTGCTAGAATAGTTTAACTCTGATAGTTAATTCATACCTTAAAGTTACTGTGATATTAATTAAGGGTTTTTTTAGTATACTTCCACAAATGTTTTTTTTTTTTTTTGACTCACTTGTTTATTTAATTTATTACGGGATGCAGTCATTTTAAAATTCAGCTAGCAATTTGATATTGTAAGCTGTATGTAAAAAATATTTGTACAATAACTTATTGTAATGTTGTTAAATATTTTTTCATTAGGTAATTTTAATAAAGTTTAATAACTACGTTTTGTTCTTATGTAACTGACTTTGCCAAAATCTGTATTTTTGATATAATAGTGTGTCTTGTTAAATTCTAAATTTTGTCGTATAATGTATATAAATACTTATTAAGCTTATGTAATATCAATGTGCGTAATTTTAAAATTGTTCATTAACACTTATATGATCTGAAAATATATTCTTGAGTAAATAGTTGAAATTTCCTTAACAAACTGAAAAAATTATTTTCTGTTATTTGTGTACAATAGCCACATCTGTAATGTTTTAATTATTAAGTGGTCTAATTACAACAGTTCAATAAAATATTAACTTTGATCAAAGGTAATGCCAAGCGTACTGGCAATTAATATAGTTATAAATAAAGACGATTTTAAAATTTTGACGACTATACAATCGTAAAACTACAAGCTGAAAAGAGTTAACTCAAAAAGATTTCATCAGCTGGACAGATTTTATGTATATAACTTTTATTCTCTGTAATCGTTAAGATAACCCTATCCTCGTGTAATTGGAGACATACGCCGTTTATTGTGGTTTTATTCAAATTTTGGTCAATGTTTTAAAACTTTGTATAAACATTTATATCAATTGTACAATTTAATACTTTCTATAACTAGGTTTCTAATAACTTTATGAAATATTGCCTTATGCCTATGTCAAAATCTAGACTAAGTGTGGATCTCTAATTATTTTTTATTAATGTACTTGTAAGCTAAAACTGCACATTTCTTTAATATCAAGGGTTATTCAAAAATTCCCTATACTTTACTCCTTAATCCTTAATAAATAAGTGGACATAACTAAATACACTGATATATATCTGTGGTGGCTAAGCAATCTTATCACAACTTCATAGGTCGCATACACGGTTATAGATAAACAGGTTACGTATCGGAGCCGACAATCGCGGTCACGCCGCGTTACGCTGTCTATAGAGCGCGCCACCGGGCTGCAGGCCATCAAAAGTTATATTTCCTATCTAACGTGTACTATAAAGCTGTTTTTTAAACCAATAAAGATAGTATACAGGTCTACAAGAACAATATAATACATGAATTTGATGTATTTGTTTGTCCTAAAAACGATGGTGTAGTCATAATACTGCTGTTACGCAAAGTTTTTCATCAAAACTGTTAAAAAAATACCGATAAAAAAATTTGCAAATTGCTAAAACCGTAATAATAAATACCAAATTATTCATAAACCATTCATAATATATTACGTTTTTTTTAAAAATAATTTTTGTAAATATCTCATCTGAAAAAAAAATTCGGATGAATTAAAATAAAATGTATTTCGTAAAATAAAATTATACTGATAGGTACTAATTTTGCTAACTTCTTTCTTTTCTGGCTAATTTTTTCTTGGCAATTGGTTTGTACAGCGTAATGCCTCATTTTCATTACAATATAGTAGGTTACAATTCGAATTATGATTACATTTTTGTGGTCTTCACATGGAAAGGACAGATACTAAGAACACAATATTAAGTATTAACTATATATAATTAATATTTAGAAATATAATAATGTTATAAAACATTTAACTAAATAGTTTATAATTGTGATTGTAGAATATATCATGTGTTATATTGTTCTTATAGACTTGAATAATACTGTTTATGAATAATGTGGTATTTATTACCACGGTTTTAGTCATTTACATATTTTTTTTATCGGTATTTTCTTAACAGTTTTAATGAAAAACTTTGCATGACAGCAGTATTATGACTACACCATCGTTTTTAGGACAAAAAAATACATCAAATTCATGTATTATATTGTTCTTGTAGACCTGTATACTATCTTTATTGGTTTAAAAAACAGCTTTTTAGTACACGTTAGATCGGAAATATAACTTTTGATGGCCTGCATCCCGGTGGCGCGCTCTATAGACAGCGTAACGCGGCTTGACCGCGATTATCGGCACCGATACGTAACCAGTTTATCTATAACCGTTGTCTAGACTCCAGTTTATTATATATATCTGTGACTAAATATTACTTATATTATCAGCAGTCAGGATCAGGTGGGACCCGTTATCACAAAATAAATGACAAAATAGAAATTTTTCTCTCCAGCCCAAGTTAATATTAATTTATAACGACGTACAAATAAGTATATAATTAATAATTTAAGTCTGACCGTTATGTATTTTGCTTGTATGTTATCAAAAAAGGAATAAGGTAAAATTTTGAGTTAAATACTAATTTTTAATTATTGTAAAGCCAAGCACTCAATACTTGTAGGATCTCAATTTTTAATTCATTCTAATTATTAACAGCAATGCAAATAGAATTAGACCCTAACTGTTCATTTAATTCTTCTTGACTTTATTTTTGTCAAACAAATTGTCTTTTCCCATTAGATTTTCACTTTAGAACTTGATTCATTAGTCCATTAGAACTTTCCCATAAAATTCACTTGTTATGTATCCAAAATTACCAATATTATAGCAATCTTTTTACTGTTGCCCGGGGAGAAGTATATACCCAAATAAGCAACCCTCTGCTCTATACAGTAAAACATTAAATTATATTTATAAAGTATCAAATAATAGTATTGTGTTGCTTGGTAATTAAGAATACTGGCAATCTGTGTTAATAATTTAACTTTTCCTCTTATTAAATACATTATCACTTATCAGTGAGTACATTGAAAATGTACGTCAAAATATTACGAAGGTTAAAGTTTATTTTCTATAGTTTACACACTACACGTTTTTGTACAATAATGTAATGATATTATTTTGTCAGGCATGTGATCAGCTTTTGATGTTAGTTATAGGCCCTGTGTATTCTCAAAGCCCTAGGCGCTGTACCTTTAGGACAGTACCTAATATTAATCGGGTTTTGTATGTATTTATTTTTTTTGTTTTGTCTTACATAGTTAGAACTACAGCTACCTTAATTATTCAATATTAATACATTAAACTTTTGAGTTCTAGCCTTCTCTTAATATTTTATATTATTATAATTAATATTTATTAAATAATACATAATCATACAAATTGTAGTAAATCTGTAAAATTAAATATAAATACTAATTAATTGATTTTTTTCCCCCTAAAATTGATTGATGTTAGTAAAAAAAAATTGTTTACTTACATTTTTTTTCGCAATAAAAAGTTTAAGCCTAATACTGTGTAAAAGTTAACTTATAATTTTATAACATTTAATTGACAACAATTTATATGATCTATGATATTGTATAGTATGATGGACTCGGGCAAACTGGCTAACTTGGACACACTGCCCAATGATGTGTTGCTTATCATTTTGAGGCAGACTTCTGCCACTGACTTTGTATATTCATTGCCGGTAGTTTGCGATCGTTGGGCAAACCTCATCTCATCAGATACTCATACTTTAAATCGCATCGGAGTATGGCAGCATCCCTTAAGTAAAGTCTCATTCTTTTATCTACGCTACAAAAATGAACATTTGATCAATCATACAGTTAAAGAACATGAACAATTATTTAGGTCAGGCGAGGTTCTACAAATGATTGATTACACTTGTGTGTTTGAATTAAGTATACAGTATTTTACCATATATGAGCATCTGAAAACGTTGGTGATTTCTAACAGTCTCCAAACATACCGTACGCAAGGATTCCTATGGCTAGATCATTTGGTGGCATTAACCTTTTATGATGTTAAAATCTGCGACAGCGACATGTACACTTTAAATGAACTATCTAGTGTTTACCCAAACGTACAAAACCTTTCTTATGTCAACTGTAGGCTTTCAATTCAGACGAACATGAATTTCCTACATAGTGGTTTTAAAAAATTAAAGCGGTTTCGTATGGATCATTATTCCATTAGCGACAGAACATTGAAAACAATATTAACTATACATCCTGATTTGGAAACCATTGTGTTCAAGCTGTGCACATTAATGAGTGATAGTTGGTTAGAAACTATAATGGATCATCTTGGAGAAAGGAAAATTATTAATCTAGAAATCCATAGCTCATATTTTACAGACAAGTGTGTTGAGAAGTTTTTGGCGAGTAAAGTTGTTACCAACACATCAAATGTTCACATCTATAAAAATAAACACGACGATCCGTTTTCTATTACAATGGCCTAAATACATTCTTTCTATGTATTGACAAAAATTTATTGTAACTTCTTTGTGTTAAAAAGATTAATATAAGAATTAGTTTTTATTTTTTTAAATTAATATATATATATAGATAGATTGATACATGTGTCTAACATATTGTTGTATTTTAATTTTTAACACTTCAGTGATAAATGATAAACCTTTAACTTTTAATAACAATAATGCCAAACATCTTTTTATTAAAAAAATCAATAGTTCTTGTAAAAATTGATTCAATGCATTACAAAAATAACTTGCCCGAGACTACTAAATTATCAGTATTCATTTTTTTAATCTGTGATGTAGACATTCAAATAGTAACTGTATATAATAGCCAAACCTACATTATTTTTTAAAAAAATTACAATAGTTCACAACATTAAATTGACCTTAACTAATTTGCTTGATTTTTTTCAATTGTAGCCTCTGTTAATACAATTAACAACTATTTGAAGAAAGCATTCGAATCAGTCGATCGTTTGAATTAACTACTTCAGTACTCTCAATGTAATATGTATGCAAATGATGTAACACAATTATTTGGAAATCAAGTCCTCTGGTGTGTGAATAAACACAAAATAACATGCTCACATATATCGTTTACTCGTAACAAGTTGTATAAAACACTGTTTACATATCTTTTAATTACTACCACTTGAATGGATTGATTTGTCTGCCAACATTTCGGAATACTTGCAAATTCCATCTTCAGGGGACCGGAAAGCGCTATTTATTTAGGGGCAAATGATAAGCAATAATTGACAAAAATTGATCTAGTAGCCATTTTTAATATGCCGACTAATTTTAATGTGAAAAAATATTAAGTTTTTTTAGTTAAAATACATATTTTATTTAGTTGACTTAACTAGACATATTTTGTTAAAAATTTCCGCTCTCTAGCAAAATAAGTAAAAAATGTATGACCATTTGTACTATTATAGAACTTTTAGACGATGAGAGATTTCTTTAGTTATATTATTCTGTGGAAATCTATTTTTTTTATCGTGATTTCATTTCTAGTACACCTAAGTATTTTTTAATTTTTGAGGAGGTTATTTGCTAATGATTTGAATTATGGAACCAATATTTTGTATGAGGCAGATTATATAAAAATAGATTATATAACACTGTAGTGAGGCCAGCAACGCAATATGGGTCCGGGGTTGGAATGTTGGGCAGTAGACATGAAAACTGAACAGTAGATGAGTGTAGCGGAGTTGAGAATGCTAAGATTAATGAGTGGAGTGACTAGGGTGGATTGTATAAGAAATTAATACATAAGGGGAAGTCTAGGAGTTGCATCAGTTTTGGAAAAAATTAGAGAGAATAGGTTGAGATGGATCATGTTGAAGAGAGATGAGGCAGAGGTAGTGAGAGTTGTTATGAAGATGAATGTAGTGGGAAAGAGATGAATAGGAAGACCGAAAAAAGACTAAATAGAGAGTGATACGAGTGGTGTAACTATTCCTATGAAACATAACAATAATGTCATTAACGGAAAAATAATTTTACTGTTATGTGCACTTAACATGCAATCACATATTTTTGGGAATAATGTGATAAAATAACACAACTTTATCAATTGTATTTTATAGCAATCCGTATAGTTTATTTAATTTTATTATACACTTGTGTATACATACATTAGATCTACAAAAAAAAAAAAAATTGGAAAACAAACATAAAATATATTTTATTGTAATACCTAGGTAATTTTCTATTGAAAAAATATTTTTGATGTGTTAATGATTTGTAATACATTATATATAAGATAAATAGTCAAAAAATATTATTATTACTATTATAATATATTAAATAACAAACATAATATTTCAACAGCTCTTCATTTGACAATATCACACGGTCATTTGAAAAAATCACTTAACGCTTTTTATCATGCAATTTTAAGAAATCTAATTTTTTTTTTTAAATGCAGATTAGTGTTTATTTCATTTTTTTAAGAGAAAAATGCTAATAAAATAAGGCATTAAACATAAAACATTTCCAACTAATACTTTGGAGTATGTACATATTTATGTCTCAAAAGCGCTGTCGTATAATACTACATAGGTAAATAATACTTGTACAAATAATAAGTAATCCAGATCATCCGGAAATCTGAAGTCATTAGTTTAGCCCTGTATGGCAGAAACATCCAGGAATGAATATTATTTGCTCACATTACAAGTGCAGATTCCGGCTCCATTATTGAGTTTAAAGCTTTTGGACTATCTGCATTGTTCTCGTATAGCTCTTTGGTTTTTAATAAACGTTCAACTCCTGAAATAATAATCCAAATTATGTTTACGCTTGTCTACACATATGACTTAATTTTAAATTCCACATAGAGCCAATATCATTGAAAATGTGTATATTAGTAAAAATGTAGACTTAACCTATACAACATATTTAATTTATTTTGTTGTCTAATTCAATTGTCAATGAATGTAGAGACTATGTACCATAATGTCATAATATATCGTCAGCCCTATAGAGTTAGCAAAGGTCGTAACTCCAAAATACCAAATTTTACAATAGAAGGAAAAAAACATAACAATATTATTATTTGATGTTACAAGTCCTTACTATTTATCACACATTTCATGGAAGAAAACACTGAAATAATATCATTATTATACCATCAGACGCACATTTTTTTCTTCAGATTGTGATATACCAAATATTGTTTTTTTTGTTGTTTGCCTTTGCTACAAGGCTGACGATATTATATAATTACAAAAATCTATATTTTTTGCAACTTGACGAAACTTTACCAAGACGAAATTTTTCTAAATGAAAAATAGGGGTGATCAAAGACTCAATATTAAGTTCAAGTCCCTTACACTTGTGATATGGAAGAGACTGGGCAAGGGATAAAGGTGGGCAGTTTCCTACTAGGTCACTCATTTCTAGGTTTTGAGTGAATACATCTTATTGTACTCAGTTACGAATTATGTTATAATACATATCTAATAATCAAATATCTAAAATACCTGAAGGTCGAAGAACTAGGTAGTGTAGAATATCAGATAATGAGAGTATACCAATGACTTTATCATTTGAGTCCACAATTACTAACCTATGTACCTAAAAAGAAAAACAATATTTGTAAGAAAAAAAGTATAAAATGCATTTTAAAACTATTGGTATATCAAAATTACTTCTGCTCGGACAATCTTTTCAATAACACAATATAGTGTATCAGTTAGATGACATTTTTGTACGCCCTCAAACCAATCACTTCGGTGTTCATTGGCTTGTTTTAGACTAACATCTAAATTATTATATGTACGCTCAGCAGCTAAATTCTAAGTGAAAATTGATTTAGAAAAATTAATTAATCAATGCCAAAATATATTTCATCTTAAATTTGACATTTTACTTACAATTACATCAAATTTAGCAAATATATCAACGAGACGGCCCTCTTTGTCAACCATGGGCAGTGCCGATACTCTGCGTTCTACAAATTTTTTTAATGCTAAAATGATTGATGTATCTTCAGATACAGTTTCTATGTTTTCATAAGTGCCAATTTTAAGTTCTTCTAGACTTTTTGACATATAAGAAGGTTTTGGCAAATCATTAATCTGCAAGACCCGTAAAAAAACAATAAAAAACACTAATAATAGTAGAGTTGATAATAAATTACATACATAAAGAAATAGAAAACGCAGTATGCGTTTATGGGTAATAATATATAGGACATCTCCGGTTAGAGGATCAATTACTGGTAAGCGATGTATTTTGTTGTTAATGAGTGTTTGAATGGCCAAAAACAAAGACATATCTGGACCGATAGATATTAACTCCTGAGGACGTTCCTCATGAAGTTCATCTATAAACACAATAAGTATAAATTAATACCCCTATGATTACATTACACAGTTAAGAGAATGTAATTTTTTTTAAAAATCATAATACTTCTCCAAGTGTCCAGTTTATGTTCTTCCAGTTCTTCCATGCTGGACGACGGCGTAGAGTAATACTTTTGCAATATTCTGATGAAATCAGTGATGGTCAGCATGCCGACGAATTGTTGGCGCTTGTTGTCCCATAGAGGAGCTGCGCGCACTCCATTGTAGACTAAAGCGAAGAACGCCTTTTTGACAATTAACTGCGTGTCAAATACGACCAATTTGGCACTAGTCGGTATGAGATCATAAGACTTATGGAAACGGAAAAATTTCACAAAAATCTGACTTTCGTCTTCTGCTAAAAAATACAATACAGTATGATGTCAGTTATTTGGGAAACAGTAGGTATGCGTTAAATACTTAAATGTTGCAATTACCCAAATCTGTAATTTTAACTTTTTCCAAAAATGGATCGGCCACAGGCAGCTGAAAAAATAACAATAAAGTAACCCAGTGTAACAATTCACCTGTATAAAAATATATTCATGTTACATATCATATTATGTCGAGAGAGAAGGGCTGGGGATTTATTTTCATCAGTGTACCATTATTACTCACTTACTCGGTATACCGTTTTTTGGTAAATGTGATCGCTCTCTCAAACACGGAATTTACAAATTACATCATGATATCAAAATCGATTATTACCGCCAAAACTAAATAGCAATGATCGAATATCAAATTTAAAAAAAAAAGTAACATACGTTTATTTTTGGATATTATTAATTTAGCAATTTTGCAATAATCGACGAATTTGGTGAACAAACTTATTACGAGCCCTAATTCGTAAATTTCTTAAATGTCTTGTAAAATTCGGGGAAGGGTGAAAAACAATGAAAGAAAATGTTGGCGTTACTATAATAATAAATTAATCGCTTTCTAATAATAGAACATTAACATAATAGACATTGTAACGCTAATGATTGGTAATATTTGACGTTTTTCAATAGTTTTCAAAGGATTGCATGTATCTATTTAAGTAAAAAATTTTTTTTGCAAAGACCTTTTTTATTATACTTATTTTTCAAGTTTAATTTGAATTTCCCAGTTCACCCCCTTTCAAAAATTATATTTGTATGTTGATTTTGCAGGGTCTTACTTTACAAGGGGGCTATACGCCGGCACTATTTTATAGCGTTAAAGTTATACACCAAGTACTCACGCCTCTGGAGTCTCTGAATAATATTGCCGCATGCGTAGGATCTAATAATCCGTCAGAACCTTTCCTCGAATTGGATATAGTTCCCAGAGACAGTCGGCGGGTTTCAGGATCCAGAGAACTTCTGCGCAATAGAGCTCCTAAGCAACAAAAAAAAAACACTATTATAGCAGGTACAACAATAGACGTGTTATATAATATCAAAAATGGTACACTTTATTATATGTAAATATATTATTATTATGATCTCGACTATAATGTTCGTTTAATAAACATTTTATAGAATATGTATGTAATCGTATGCAATATACATATATATATGTTGTTGTCTTTCCAATGTCAATTGATCGTGATTGACAAAACAGAATTTGAAATTATTATTCTAATAACAATAATAATGTCATACGCATTGCGCGACATTTAATAACAGTAGATAGATATGAATTTGCATAAAAAAAACTAAATAAACAAAAATAGGTGTATACAAAATTGCGCAGAGATATTATTTTATGATTATTATTACTTTATTATGTCGTATAATATTCCAAATAATAATTTATATACGTCATGATATATAATATAATCAGCATTGATAACTGTTGACTATTATCGCCACATCGTCGTAGAGATAAGGCAAATAGAAAAAAAACCAGTTAGTTACGGGTAAATAAAAAGAACAGTACTACTATCTACTTCCAGAAAACAATTACAAATTAGTAGTAATAATGATAATAATTCAAATTATTGTTATGATTAAAATGTTGTTGGCTTTTTCAACTACATCGTGATGTGAAAAAACCGGTGATAATCGGACGTGACTTTTAACACCCGCTATCTATTAATATACATATATAGTAACGATAGTTAACGACCAAGACAGGTCACCGCATCCAACAAACACATTTTCGACTATCGTTAGCCGTTTTCATATAAAGTAAACATAATTAAAAAATAATAACTACTATTCTTGTTGGTACTTCATAATTCGTTAACTAGTAGATCCGAGATACAACTGTTGGCTATAATAACGTATGAGCACCATAAGTAAAAATTAATTTCCTTGAGCCGACGGATATGATAAAATGTCATTATATCTATTCAGTGTTCAGCGTAAAACAATATTATCGTCATACAATAAATCATTAAAATAAACTGCGTTTTTAAAAAAAATATATTTTAATGTTTATTAATGTTACACTATGTTGCTAATAACTAATAAGAAAAGTTATTATTGTAAAATTATGTTCGACGTAAATCATAATTAAATCTACATTACGAATGGACTGTAGTATGATACAAAGATTTTAACCACCGACGTTGATGTGTCTACTACACAATCATACGGGTTTCGCAATTAAAAAATAAACATATTACATCAAAATAACAATAATAATCGATAATTCAAATAAAACAGCGATATGCTAACACAGAATTATGGTCAATTATCTTTTTAAAATATTGTAAGTTGATTTTGTGTGTAATGATCGTTCTACTGAACGTCAAATGTAAAACATAATTGGTTTTTTTTTATAGGAAACCTCTTAAACCGGAGTTGTTGAAAATTGAAATAAAAAACTTACATTAATTATTAATCATTATCATTATTAATCAAGTCATTAATTATTGAATTATAAAACAACATTTTAATTTCGGGAGTGAGGAACCGAGAGAGGAGTAAAAACACCCGTTTATATACATCCAATTACGCAGACAAACAATATCTTAAATTTTTGTGTCGCATTTTAATAATTTTTTTAGTGCTATTGAAATCATAATTTGAATTTAAAATGTGAGTAAAACTGAAACTAGAAATTAAAAACAAAACTTGACAACGCGCACTGTAGTGTCTGTATAAAATTCAAAATTGAGTATCAGTACTCCGGCGAGTTATTCCAAAAAATACTTATGCTTTTGTTTTACAATTAAGGCTTATTATTTAGAAACTACAACCGGTACGGTGCACTAGGACACAATTCCACCCTCACACACGACAGTGCAGCGCTTGGCTGACAATGTCCGCGTCCTCTAGAAAACCGGTTGCACCACATATGAAAATTATTAAATTATTTTCATTTACTTATGTATTTATTTGTTATTTTACACTCGACATACTTCCTTCTATTTTCTTACTAGATAATCATCGATATTAACCCGCCTGCTGTAGAAACCGGACAGTCGTATAGAGTAACATGAGCACCTCAAGGACTACCGGGCAGCAAAGGGGTACAATGTGTAAACAACGCATATAACTATGACGCTGGCCAACAATAAAATAAACTAGTTTAGTCAGACAAGCTTTAAAGTCTGTGTACAGGGCGTTCAGTGAATCACTTTACACACAGTCACGGGGGACTATATAATAGTGCACTGCGGCGATTCGCAATTCCATACACACTCTTTATAATCTCACGTCATTAAAAAACGCGTCTTGATGCTAACCGGTTACCGTGTATACGCCGCAATACACGACAGTAACATAACAGTAGAAACAAAGAACCGGTCAAATAAAAAACGTGCGAGTCAATAATAGAAAAAAGAAAAATTATTATTAAACCACCCAAGGACGCAGGACAAGACGCACATTTTTCAAATTCAAAAGATCGTCACAAACAGTACACAGAGACGGAGCGAGATAGAGCTCTAGCTAGCTAGACTAACACCGGACAACTAGACCAATAGACCGCATACTATATTATTATTCATTCAATAAAATGTTATGCAGCCGAGCACCGCTATTATTGTGTGTGGCAAACCAATTGTTTTTTTAACAAACACAATGTACGGCTGCGATTTTGTACTCGACGGGGAAAGAAATAATGTTTTTTTTAATATTTAGAACGAGAAATTGTATCTATACAGTAAAAAAATGCAGTGATATCAATGAACTACATTGGTAACCGACTTGCACGTTTTCATCAGTATTTCAATCATTTTTATAAGCTCAACAAGGGCAGGTGTACATTACAAAGTGGGTCTATTGCAAAACTTGCATGCTTGGACTTGCAATTTTGTTTGTTCTTTTTTTATTGTGTACGCTTTTTTACAATTTTTTTTTCGTCATCTGACGCACGCAATTTTATACCGATTGTCGCGCGGCAACAAATAAAAAATAATAAACTGGTTCAAAATGTAAAAAAAACAGCTTAAAAGAGGAACGCGTTAATACACACCACGACCGAATTTTGCGTAGGTCGAAAAGACCACTGGAAACTTGTAAACCACAGCCGCGATTAATGAAAGCAAATAACTAATTAATAAACAAATAGGTAAAAAGCGCGCGATGCCTTATTAATTGTTTTCGGCGTCCGACATCTGAAAACAACATACTGTTTTGACCTGTGAGTTATTCGATAGAGGACGTTGGTAAGGGTAAAAAAAACGATGTCGCAAATAAAAAAAGGTCGCATATGCAAACAGTCAACGCGTTATTATACAACATGCGCGATGGTCGTAATAATGTTATTGTACGGTTTTTGACGCAAACAAAATATTCGGACAAAATTATACATTTTTTATCATCGCACATGTAATATTATACCTTCTTGCAGAATGCTTTCGTATATCTTGTATGCGTCGCCGCTGTCGAGCACGGCCGAGCCTGACGTTGTTAGCTGTGTTTTTCGGGTGCCGTCGTCCAACGACTTGGAACGGTTGCGGAACTGTCCACCGTCTTTGGGCACGTCCAGCAAGCACGAGGTACGCCTGTTTTCGGGCACGTTGGTTTCCTTGTTGTTGTTCTGGTGTTGTGTGTGGCTCTTGGAGCTGCCGCCTCCAATAAGGGCGCGGTAAGCGTCGTGCAGAAACGACGTCCGGGGTGACGAACGTCTGCTAGGGCTGGGTGATCGTGACGACGGTGACAACGAATAAACGTTTTTTATCGGCACAGGCACCGCGCCGGTAGGCTCGTCGTCTGGCGGCGTAATGTGACATACCACATGCGGCTTTGGGATGGACAGACTTATCGGTTTGGCGGCCGCCGCCGTTCCTACCTCCATGACGGTGAAAATAATAATTATGACTATACGATAGCAATCGTTTTCTCTTCGGTGCTTTTACTCTGCTCTTTCGATCACTCATTCACCGGTTCTTGGCAACGTCAAGCATCCTACGTATATATTTATTACATATGTGTACTATATAATATACAGCGAACAACAAACGAGTGAAGAAGTAAAAAAAAAGTATACATATATTCCGACAGAAAAACAACACACTCCTCGGGAAAAAGCGCTAGCGCGCCCGACCGTTGGTTTCGCGATTATGTTATTTCTATGTGCGAGACTCACGGTGCGGCGCGGGAAATGGAGCGCGCGGCGGAAAACGTGCGTGCGACTGGTTCGAAAACGCGACGTGACCCGGTCCGTCCACCGGCACGGCGGGCATTTCCTTCTCCCGCAGCAGGCCAATGCCGGCCGGTAGGCTAAACGCGCGTGCCAAGAGGAGGGGGCGGTCACCGGTCCCGCGCGTTACAAAATCCACCACCCATCAGCAGCAGCAATTATTATTGTTGGCTTTATAATAATATAATAAGTAATAACACTTAGATACATATACACACACGTTGTAATATACGTCTATTGTTGGCTAAAGGTGTCGACTTTGACCGCGAGTATAATAAATTATGGTTTTAATATACCTAATACAAAATCGTTCATAAAGCAGATTGCAGTGTTGTTGTCAAACATATAAACTTTTAAAAAGATCTTCTTAAAGAGATTTCATTCGAAATCGTCTATAAAAGTAAACGCTTAATAAATCGGTTAAATAATAACCGAATCCAAAAACCACTGCAACAGTCATGTTATGAGACATGCTGCACAAAGTATACTAGGTAACAGATATATTTTGACACCTGACTATGCGTACGACGAGCACGGGCAAAGGTCGATGGCGAACTCGTTGTTTAAATCGACGCGAACTTTAGAACCAAACATAATTCGAAAGTGTAAAGGTCAGTAAATTATTTTGAATTCCTTCGACGTACACAGTCTTATTATTATTATTGTTTTGATTGAATCCAGCCAAGGAATTTCACACGCGCACGGGTATGCACTTTGAAACTTCAGATAGTGTAAAAAAAAGTATAGAATAGGTAAAGAAAGTGTTTGTTCAAACACCGCTGTCTTTTTGTAAGTATAATACTTATTCTCTCGCCATGCCTTTGGCGGCGATAAGGTTTACACAAGACAACGCGTACAATCTCGCAAAATATTTACATTAGTTGGCAAAATAATGATCCTCCGAAAATACTCACTTCACACAACTCTGCACATCGAAACCTCACCCTTTCAAACCGTACCTGTCGTATCCGATTAAGCGTATCAAGGTTTTACATTTTTTTCAAACACTTTCCGAATTCCTACGTGTTGTCGTTTGATACATGACAGCCATAAAAGTCGGCCAAAGTCGAACGTTAGCGAGTCCTTTGATACAGAACAAATGACAATGTATTTATTTATTTTTTACAAATAAAAATTAAAACAAAAAGGGTTAAACATGTTTATTCTTGGTTGTGTCCATCTTACAATCCTCAAATGAAGTTTTTTAGAAGAGTTTTGAAATGTTTGCGACGACTATTCTAAATATCGTTTATTACCCGCACATCGATGTCTTATCGCCAATTCAAAGTTTATATTAACAATATATTATGCACACACACAAAGCGCCGTGACTTTTCTCACGTATTTACAAAAATAATACTACACTACAACAAATCTAACCGTCAATAAAATTAAGCCATAATTTGAGAGTCATTAGACGAAGCCGAATGCGTATGTATCATTATAATGAATTATATATTTCTGCAACTAGAATTCCTCCGGCTTCACGTTACGATAATTACTTACATCAAGATAAACTGATGGATTTACAAGGCGAAACGAATATAATTTATGTACAATTTACACGCTTCTAGATTATTTCAATGGCATTGAAAAAATAAATCGAAATAAATGAAAATTTAATACAATCGCGATAAGATTAAATTTATTGAGAGTTTGCTTAAACATGCATGCATTATTCTACGGCGGAAATGTACATTGTACTTACCGTTAAAGAAACAAAATATATAAATGTCAAAAAACCAACCAAACGAATCAAGAAATAACATATTGCTATAAGACAAAAAGTAAATAAATTGTAAGAAATTAATTTCGTTATATGTATAACGCATACATCCGCCATTGAACACCGTCTGAATTGACTACCTAAATTATATTTTTATTAATAACAACAAAAGAAAAATTGTTCTTTTTTAAATTTGAATGTTCGCATAATTTATATGTTAGTTATGACTTATGATTAAAGCTTTTCAGAGGCTTTTTGAATATTCAACATACCAACTTTTCGGAGTAGGTATGCAACGCTTTGAATATTATAGTCATTACTCATTAAATATATAATAAAATGTATACAACAACTGAGACATTAGTTAGCATTGATTATTACACAAACACATATAAGAAATAATTATAATTAAATACATTCATCGGTAAATATTTTATAAACCATTAAAACGAATGACAACAGAGTTAATTCAAACACAATTTTTACAGCGATTACTCTCCTATATTTTGTAAGTAAATTAGAATATACGTGATAATGTTTGAATTACGAGTATACGTATCATAATAAGAAACAATTGGGAGGAAGTCATGTGACCGTCAGTTCCCCTCATTGGTTCTGTATAAAAAAATAATAAGAAGAAGTAATTATTTGTTGTAATTGTGATACATGCGAGAGAATTGTTTAAAAAATGAAGTGGATGAGCAGAGTAATTCGTTTTAAGTTCATGAGTCACGTGTCGTTGCGAAAATTACTTTTTTTTTTTAATTCTTAACTTTTTAATCGAGTAGATACTCGTTTCAAATCACTTTTTTGGAGCAAGGGTAAAGGAAGTTTTACTAAGATAAGTTCATAAAATGCTCAGTGTAAGAATGGTAACTGTCACATTTTGTATCCTTTTACAACTATAAAAAACGCAAGCGCAGACTTCAATATAAACGTGCTCAGCGGCGATAATCACTACACAGCATTAACCAGTACAAATTAACAACTCGATTGAGTATCCAATTTAAATAAGATTATTACATGACACGATCCGAATTAAATAAATTAGTTTATAGTACAGAAATTGAATAACTTGAATTTCAGATAGAAAATGTTGAATTATTCAAATATTCCAGTTTTTCCCTCACCCCTGTCAGAAAGTTAAATGTTTAATTAGGGCTGAGTAAGTTAAACAATTTTGTAAAAACTAATACAATTATTTAAAAAAAATGTAATATATATATATTACAGTTTATCATAACTTTTGTTCCTTAAATTTATCTTTGATTGTAAAAAAAAAAATTATTAGATGATTAGACAACTGTACACAGCGATCGGTCGGTAAACAAATAATAAAAATTGTTTAATGTTTATGTAATAGGGCAAATTAAAGCTACGAACAAGTAAGTAACATTAATTGTAAAACACGATTGCCCGTTATTTCCGGTCGGGGCACATCATTTCTTTGAATACTATCTTTCTTTCATCGCGTCGTTTATTGATTTTAAAGACCAACATTAACTAAATAGTGTATATTTTTTTACAATTTTTTTTTTGACTGTTTAATATTCAAAACGACAAATACTAAATTCGCTTAATTCGCCACTCTATTATTAAAGTATACCTCATGATTTAGCCGTCTATCGACCGAAGGCCGGATTAGAAATAAATTAAATATTCTAAGTATACTTTGAATGTGCTGGTATGTTGTTGTATGAAGTTTTAAATTTCTATCACACACTGTTTTTTTTACACATCAGCTGTAGTGAAATCGCCTTTTAAATTGAGTGGCATGCTGAAACGCCAAGTGTACACACTAAAGGCAATAATAAAAAGCAACTACCGGAATTGCAACATGTTGCTTTCTATTTGTCTCTATGTTTCGATAAAAACAAAACACATACTGATAGCAGATACATGTTGCCTTAGTGTAGACCAAGCTTAAGGTAGCAAAGGTGTATCCGGGAAATCGTCGAGAGTAAATAATGCTATTATCCCCTGAGAAAAAACTTTTTTCGCACGCAATACTCTCACGCTCATTATAGTGGCCGTTTTTCTCTCATTGCAGCCTTGTAATGCACACAAATGGCGTGCAAGGACTTGGCCACAAGGAGTGCCTACCTAACAAACACGTGAATAAGTCCACTGCTACTAAAACCTCAATGAATACGATTGTTTTTTAAAATGCATATTTGATCAATTTCACTGTCGTGTATACAAGGGAAACAATAGCGATATTAATGACCGGAAACCCCTATGATATTATATATACGAATAAAACCACTAACTAATTAGATAAAACTAATTAGATTCGAATAAAGTTGATACACAAACAAAACAAACACTCGAATGGTTGATTATGAAAGTACGTCTAATTCTAGTTCTAAAAAAAAAATAAAAATAAGATTAGACCATTGTTAAAAATATAATATTTTTGTAAGGGACACTGCAGAGCTTTTAGACACGCAACTTTCGGTTACGGCTGACGATTGTACTGTAACCCACCAGGGTTAAATACTTTTGAGTTCGTGCAAAAAAGTAATTTTGAAATTAAATGCAATGTGAATTTAAAAATGTCACGTGCTTTTTTAATTGAACTAATTCGTGGTCACGTACCTAAACGAGGCGGATTAAATTTGACGTAAAATAAATTATAGCTACCTTAACTGGAACTTTAATAGAGAACTACTCCTAAAGTCAGTATTTTGTGAAAGGTCTTTTCTCTAGTCAAGCAGCACACCCCTTTTACCACAACTATACTCTTGAAATGACTTTCGATCAAAAGTAACTACGGCGAATCCCGCCAAATTAATTAGTGCCGTTATCCTGGACGCTTTGTAATCAAAATAACAATTTTAACGGAATGACAGACCACTTACACATATTACAGCCTACCGGACTATAAAACATAATTTACCCAACAAAAGACTACTGGTAAAACAACTCCAAAGCGAGCAGTTGGAATTGTTTTTAATATTTTGCATACAAATTTGTTTTTTGCGTATTTTTTAACAACGTCAACAACAACACAAAATCAGCAGCATTATAATTTATAATGTTTTAGCTCGTTTATTTTTTTCACCTGATAGTAGAAGTGGTAATGTAAAAGTTTTACGTTTTTTGGAATCTTCGGATTGTTCTACGCTATCAGTATCATAGAATAGGTAAATACATGTTATTCAATCATGTTTATTCCTAGGCAAATGTGTCAGTAGTAAATTCCGATTTCAAATCTCTAAACAAAGCCAACCAAATACAATACTATTAAAAACTGCTATTATTAATGATAACGTGGACTTCTTGAAAATAGTAATGCGCCAACAACGTTTACTGAATAGGTTTTTGTAAATTTCAGTAAAAAAAAAAAAACTAGAGTAAAGTCAAAGCCTCACATAATCGAACTGATGTTTTACAATGATTATTATTATCGATCGTTATTGTCAAATGTGTTTTTTGAAAAAAAATAATCGATTGCGTATTATAAAAAAAATTAACTGTTAACAGATGATGCTGTCGTTGTTATAAGTCCAAGACTGTAGACGTTAAGCTGATGTTTTTTTCTCCTCAAACTAATCGTAATACATACAGTAACAGTGCCTGCGTTTACTTAAGATAATATCTTTTATTGGTTTCCCAATATAAAAATAATCATAGAATGTTAAGTTCTACAACAATATTGAGTTCCGTTGTAATTGACGTCAGAGATAAAAAGCTTTATATTAAAGTTGACTGTTGACCTATTGGAATGACCTATAATTTTCGTCATCTTCATGCAAGCATTTAATGAAATATAATAACCGCGGCGTCGTTCGTAAAACTAACTTAACTACATATCTATAATCTATAATATCTGTAATTATGTAAACTAAAATATTACAGTCTGTTATATTTAATGGAAATACTCACCTTGTGCGAAATTCGTATGCGGAATATTTGCTGCCCTCTGTAAAACAAAATAAGAAACACAGCGCGTTAGTTACAAATATTTACTATAGGTTGTCAAGTTAAGTGTACAAGGTCGTATGAGCTCTTATTCAATGTCAATTTTTTTAGCACGTCGTCAGCGATATATCAGGTATTTCTGGTTTAAAATACCTCGTGGCGTGATTGCATTTGTGGTGAGGGTATGACATTAAAATAGTATAATTTACAAAATTCAAGCGGGTGATATTATATAGTTACATTATATATATATATATATTCCATATAGTAACATTATTTAAATATTAACTATCGGTGTCTTATCGTCGAATACTTATTTTTAACGTCGAAATTAATCATAGTACATATACGAATAATTATTATGAACTATCAAAGATTTAGCTTAGAGATATATACATTTATAGATTATAGATCATATATTATGTAATTAGTAATTTTTTTTGTTGAGTTATATTTTTATCAATAGCTATCGTTCACATTGTGTACAAATGTATTAATTATAATTTATATTAGAACAAATACCTAGTGAAAAAATGTAATAATAATGCTTAATAAATTGTCAAGTTGTTATCAAACCTAAAAAAGAGTGTACTCCAAACAAGGTAATAGTAATATTAACAATAATTAAAAAATATGTTTAACATACTATTATAATACATATTTTAGGTAGATCCATTACACCAGTATACGGGTACCTACTATACTATTGGTACATCATTCTAGCTTTCAAAGTGTATTCTAACAACTTTATATTCTGATCACGTTATGCAAGTTAACCATTTTAATATAGAATGAAACTAGGTTCAATTTAAAAACAGCAACGTCTTTTCTACTTCCTTCTTTACAGAAAACTATATTCTTACGAATAGAACCATTTTCTACCTAGGTTTTTGTGTTCTAGTGAAGTTATTACTAACAATTTAAAATAAACAAGAAAATTTGTCTTTATTATAGGATAAAGTAAAATTCAAATTCTCAACAGTTTAGGAGATAAGAACTATTTTCGTTTAAAACCAAACCAAGACATTCTATTTGAGGCCAATACAATTTAATTACTCAAAAATTCGAAAATAAGCAAACAATTTTCGAAAATGTTTTCAGCTCAGATGCGTAACCTACCTTCTGGTCGTACAGTTCTACATTTATTAAGTAAATAATGAAAATAGATTTTAAAAATATACTTGGCGATCAATTACAAAATTTAAATGTCTTGGTAAACATTACGTATTTGTTTGTAATGAATTTATCAATATTAAATGATATCCTCAACAGCCATAACAGCGATAAAATCTTATCTATAATAGTACTAATAAAGTTATGCACCACACACCTGTTATATAAGATTTTAAATTAGGTTTATTGATTTTTATATTGTTTAACAACATAATCGCGACTATTAATAGTAATTATGTTACTAATGTATACATATTTTTTTTATAAAAAAAATTCAATGAAATGTTTTAACTCGTTCAACTTAGAAGGTCGTTTAATTAAACCAATTCTTTTTTTGATTCGTCAACACAATTAGGACTGACTAGATTAAGGAGCGTAATTTGTGTATATAATTAACTATGTAATAAGTAAAATGAATAATTTAGTAAACATTAATATAAATATACATTTTAAAACCAAAATATGGTACCTACAATGTAATTTGTATTGAGTGAAATCATTGACTTGTCTACACTTTACAAAATATGATACACATACAACGATAGATTAAATAGTACACAAACTTAAGTTAAAAACTTACAAATTCTAATTTTATTTTAATATTATTATATATTAAAAAAAGTTGAATTATTGTAATAATGCTAGTTTTACATACGATAAAATTGAAATTTACTTAGGGAAAAATAAGATGCCGAACAGAAGAGCTGACAACTGAGTTCTGAAGTAGGTACATTAAAAAATACGAAACAGTTAATCAGGCAAAGGGATTACTATCGTAAACAACCGTTTTGCATAGTGTAAAAAATAAAATTAATTTAAATATTAAACAGCTAGAGCCTACAGTAGTATATATATATTTTTTTAATAGACAAATAATTTGAATTCATATTTCGAGCATATGCTCAGGAGAGTCAGAAGTTATTTCGATATAAAAAAAACACAAATGACTACGTTAAATAATATGAAGGCATTAAAAAAAAAACACTAACAACAACTGCGAATTAGATAATTAAATACAAGTACATAAAAAGTAGTTAGTTTTACATGTACTGGCCCTGGCGCGCTATTTCATAATACGGGGTATATACTTTAAAATATTGTAATACGGCGTACATAATAATATATAATATTATTTAAATAATGAAACGTACTCTCGGTCAAAAAAAGACATACGACAATAGTAAAAAAAATAAGCTTATCAGTCATCACTGACTCATACTTTAGATTATGCAAAATGCTTTGTTGCACTTCAACTTAACATTATAATTTGTTTATATTACTAAAAGTTATTTTTTCAAAAAGAATTAATTATTGAATATTATGTAACCTTTTTTTAAATTATTTATGCGAAATCATTTTTTTCTTTAAACTATTTTGACAAGTTGAAGAAAACAGCTATTTCCCTCCCACCAATAACAAATAATTTGCATAATCTAAATAATAATTAATTAAAGTTTTAAATAGATTATAATTAATTGCGACGATGCCAACGACGGTTACCATCAATACCGTGTTGACAATATTTAATAATTTTTAAAAACCCAGTACAGTGTGGTAACAGCATAGTAGGAACAGAACATATTGGGGCGTAATGGGGCGGATAAAATCACTTTCAAACTAACACTTCGTTGACAATCAGTAGTGGTAGAAGTACAAATATACATATAAGCTTGTACGTAATGACAATAATGTGCTAAAAATGTAATTTTTGTAAAAAAGTTACAAAACGCCGTAATTAATAATTTTATTATTTGATTACTTAACAATGTTTAAATACAATCTATTTTGCATATATTTTCTTCGTGAAACATGTTTCAAATATTTACATACTGAAATCTAACCCTCAATATATTTTATCTACAGGTTATTTTCATTTTTATCAATGTACCACAGCTTTATAATAGTGAATAAGTTACATAATTTACATTCTTAAATAGTCTATTTAAACTTTTATCCGATTGCACATAAAAAGGGTACTAAATTTGTATCAAATAATTATACCAATAATTTAGGAAATAATTTTGTTTAACAGAAATTTGGACTAGTTCGTCAAATTTATCTATACATTCATTATATCATATAAAATTTAACTTGTTTGACTCGTTTAAAATGATACGTTTATTTACCTCCTACCTAATGAACGTGGCATTATATTATACTTGAAACACTCGTTTTTTTGTTTGAAAATTGAAACTTGAAAAGTTAATACACCCGGTCCACTAAAGTAATTTAAATCATGATTGAAATATACAGGTTATTGCATATCGTCTCGAATTGTTATCTTCAGAAACAAAATGGCGACGTAAGGGGATATCAATTTTACTATATACTTTACAATTACTATATATTTTACTGTGTACTTATTTACTTGAGGCTCCCTTTACGCCGAAATATTTGTTTTTATAATGCAATAACCTTGTATATTTTAATCGTGATTTAATCCTATAATTTGTAGAAAAAAAACTTTAAAAAGTACAAATTTCTTATTTTAATATGGCAACCAAGAAGTAAATAAACATACATAATATATTCACGCATAAAGACATTGCGTCTGGTAATAATACTATTGCGGTATTATTACCAAAATCGTAACTTGTTAGTTGTTAGTTGAATATATAAAAAAAAAAAAGATACGTTACAAACAAAGCAAGGAAATATGATTTTAAATTCAAAATAGTTAACCATAACCAACATATAATTAATAATAGCATAGAAGTACTATCGATAAACGTTGACAAATGAAAAAAATATCACTAAGCCTTAAAAGAGGTGAAAACTATTTCTCCTTTTCGAGCGAAGTTTTAGTCTGAAAATTAGACTGAAGGTAGATAACTAAAGTGGGGCTATAACTTATATGAGGTTCCTTAAAAATCTGTAGTTGCTCTTTTTTTATAAACCTAAAATAAAAAAACCGCAACCAAATTATTGACAAATAATTTCTTCAAAAACGAATTCTACTTAAACTATAAATTAAATTACGATACAACCAAAAAATTAGATTGCCCAGGGTAACATAACATCATCGAGGCCTATAAGTTTAAGGTAAGTTCTATTGATAATAGAAAAAATAGTAATACATTTTACAGTTATTGATCTAGAGAGCTCAAATGTTTAACACAATATGTCGAGTTCAGTCAACAACATAAACTGTTCAAATTTCAGACATATACATTCAATATATCGTGAGAAAAAAGATTCCCTTCTATAACCCAATCCCACAATTACCCTCAAATTATATTCTGTTAATTAAGTTAAGCGCACAAACATACTGGTTAAATTTAAGGGAAAAATTAGAATCCACATAGTTGCTATCTATAGACATGGGAATTTCACAGACGAGCGAACACACATATCCACAAACAGAATGCCACATTTTTCTATTTTTGAAGCTTACTCCCACACTGATATTAGAAAAAAAATGTTCAGGGAACAGTAGCTTCCTCTTTGATGAAGCAAAATGAGAAATCTACACTTGGACAGTTGTAAATTACTAAGTTGATATTTGTGAATAAATCAATAGTCAACATACATTTGAAAATATTTTCGTTATATGGTTAATTGCGATATAATAAGGCAACAAATAATCTTAGGCTGACGATCAATCGTATCCTCGCCCTAATAGTTCAATCCTACATAGTTTTTTGTACTTCCACCATTTACATAATCGAATCGAAGCGTTTCAAAAAGCTGATTTTATCACTTTCGGTTATAATAATTTCTGTAGACCCTTGACCCCCCAGTCCCAATATGCTCCGTCACCACTATTGTCCGACCCACTGTACTGTTTTTTTTGTTTTAAAATTTCGCCTAAAAAGTAAAAAAAAACAA